ACTTCACTTCAATTAAGACTATTGATATAAGGAAAATGTGACATTGCAGGCAATGAACCCCACTCACAGATTTTCTGGCGAGTTGGTGTGCGAGCAATGACACTTCTGAAGGACAAACCATGATTTCAAGCGGCGCATGTGACATCACGCAAGCCATCTTGGATCTGTGTGCAAGTTTGTATGCTGCGCTAATTACCATTCATTGCCATTTCACTGGTTGCTGCTGCAGGTGCTATAGCAACTGATCACCTGCATCGCCTGCTGTGCCTGCGGTACCCCCAGCACAGCAACATCCTGACGCTCAACAATTGTCAGCAGATAAAGGAGAAGCATTCGTTTTGCTCCAGCAACTACCTGAAGGACCTTGACATGGCTCAGAAAGGAAGAGACGACGCAGGTAGAAGAAGTTTTCCCATTTCAATAGCCATGCCACACTGGGCATCATGGTCAGCACCATGGTCAGCTGTTTCTCTCAGGGGTAGCACTTTTGTGACTGTCATGGATTTAGATTCAGAGACAGCAGGATTTGTGATGTGGCACACTGGTTGTTTGTGTGATTCCCTGCATTGACTCTTTGCCATAGCCACAGTGTCCAGCATATCTAGTTGCCAATTCGCTGAGAATTGGTCCACCACAATATCTGTGACTCGAGTCAGGTGGCCTTGCTCTGCGCATCCAGCTCCCCTGGAAACCCGTCAAACTTCCAACGAAGGCAGAGCTGGAAGAGGAGGCCGCCCAGAAGGCTGCGAGGGCGGCTGAGCAGCGGCAACGGCTGAAGGATATGGTTGATGCCAGGAAGGCCAAAAACATGAGGGACAAGGAGATTCACATCAAGCTTTTAAAAGATGCTGCCGCGCAGGTGAACTAATGTGAATTATTTCCTGCACTTGCTGCTGTTGTGTTCGCCACCACATCGCTTGTCAGAGCAGAATTTGGGGTGGGTGGATCCCAACGCTCAAGTGGACACTTGAGTGTGGTCTTATATGACAGCTATCGTGTGTTGATATGTGCCATTCTTAGCATCGATTGTGCTGGGGAGGCGAACATCGCATTCTTGGAAAGATCATTTGTGAAAAGGCAAACTGACTGATCCAAGAGATGAGCTGCTGGCCTTTTGGCATATGCTGGTGCTGGCTAGTCCCTGGTAGTGACTTGTCCTTGTTGCTGATGTCAAATCATGGCCTTTGGGCGTGGATCCTACACACACACACACACACACACACACACACACACACACACACACACACACACACACACACACACACACACACACACACACACACACACACACACCTTTTATTACAACCCACTGTGACATGACAGCAGCAGTCTGAAATTGTGACATGGCTGGCGACGCTGCTCCACAAGGTCGAGTGCGCAGAATCAAGCGCAGCTGCAGACGACATTTTGAAGCGAATTGACATGGAGGATTATGAGGAGCTGAAAAAGCGCATCGATGAGGCTGAGGCGACACTTCAGCGACTCAAGGGACTCGAACCGGCGGAGCAAATTGGGCCTGACGGAAAGCAGGGGGCCAAACTGGACCTGCTGGACGTCACTGACAGTGAGCTGACGCCTGAACAGCTGGCTGAGAAGAGGCGGCAGAGGCTCGCGAAACATGCTGCAGATGCACGAGCCAAGTTAAAAGCCAAGAAGGAGCAGGAGAGGCTTGAGCAGGTGGGGTGTGGGATAGGCATGCTGCACTGCACCAAAGAAATAGTACATATTTGTTCACATGCTGCTGCCCTTGATGGCTGGTGCTCCCCTCATTTTGCATGCGAGCCTCCCTTCCATTCATGAGATTAAAGCAACCAATATCGTTTTGAGGCGGATTGAGTTCACCTCAGCACTAACCTGTGTCGAAGTTTGGAGAATCCTCAGGCGTCGCGATCACTTGAGTTCTCCCAAGTATCCGGTTTGCCTCTGCTACATTCTCAATCTTTACAAGCATTCTACTTGCTGGTATTTGTAATTGGTTGTTGCTGCTGTTGCTGCCTCTCGCCGTTTTTGTTGTTGTTCTTGCGGTAAGCCGAAGGTCTGTGCATGTTTGAGATTTTTGATTGGGATGCGAGCCTTGACACCTGCAAAGAGACGAAGGTATGCAGGCCGACACCAGTTTTGTTGAAACCTCCAATATCGTCCGCCTTGGAGTGCTAGCAGTGCTAGCAGGTGTGTTGATATGCCACTGTTTCAATGTCCTCAAATGCTGTGGCCGGATTGAATCAGTGCAGTCTCAGGTTGATGTTGTCCGAGTTTGTTCCGATCTCGCTTGTGAACATTATTGATTTTCAGCAGTTTGACATGGCTCCAAGTCAGCCACACTGAATCAAGTTAGTCTGTGGCTTTCAACAAACAGGAGCACCTGGATGTTGTACTTGTATTTATTTCATCTTACAAAGTACGACGATTCGCTTGCATGTCATTCAGTATTCTTATTCAGATGCCAGCTCTTCAATCTTCGTTTTCCCCGTTTGTTTCCAATGAGGAAGCTACTGCCTTCGAGGCTGACAATGCCGACAAATGATCTCGCACATGTCGGCATAGTATTGGATATATTCGGGCAATCATATTCAAGCACATGTGATAAACCTTGCAAACTGCCCGACAGCCAGACGAAAGAAAGGAAAGAAATAACAAGTTCAAAATGGTAAACAAAACAAAATAGAAACTACTTCCTCCGTCCAAGATTAATTGTTGCCTATGACTCTGGGGCATTACTTCTCCATCATGCCCAGCACAGTTTTCAATGAAATTTCACCTATATTTGTGTTGTGACTCCAGAGTATACTGTCAAAATTTCAGGTCAATCCAATAAATAGTGGAGATTTGGCAGTACTTTGTAACAAGGGTCCTTTGGCCAGAAAACGGTCGGTTTTTGATGTCGCGGCAAAAACGGCCGTTTTCGCTGCTTTGAGGAGCGCGCTTTTGCGGCAGCGAAACAAAGCTGTCAGTGCAAGACTATCCACGCCGTTCAGACTGGAGGTCACCACAGTGCTTCCAAAGAGGGACGGCGATGGAAAACACGTTTCAAAAGCACCTGATCGTCAAACTCGCTGTGGTTTCTGGCTACAATTCAAACTCGATCCGGCATATCAGAGCGATGTTCTGGGCCCAAAATTCTGGTCCAGGACTTTGCGGCCTCCATCGTTGCCATTAGGGCAACTGCGGGAGGCCTCCCAATCCTCTCGACAAGGTAGGTGCAAGTCAAGGTGATGGCCATCACCCCAATCAATCGCGGACAAGTAGTGAATTGGCCATTGTGCCGGTAATTGCGAATTGACCTTCTTTTGGCACTTGAATTGATCGGGGGCTAGGATAATGGCTACAAGGGTGAAGTCGTGTCTCTTGAAGTAATTGAGCTCACTAGGCTGTGATTAGTTGTGCCCCGTGCGCAAGAATTGGCAGCTAGGGGCTATATGTGGATTCTGGGTTGAGCTGCACACGAAAGCTTGGATTCAGGCATCGATCGAGGTGGAATGTCCAAGCAAGGCTACAACACAACCTTGGAGAGCTAGCCCGCACTGAACCCAGCCCTCAACATCTTGGATCTTGGCATTTTCCGCTCAGAGAAGTCCCATGCATCGGAGATTGAGAGCATCGCAGATGTCCAACATCGACATTTCCATGACAATGGTCACCTTCGAGAAGGATCCAAGCATGGTCGAGTGGGTTTGGCAAGAGCTACGCCACATGCTGGATGCCCCCTTTCACCATGGCAGTGGTAACGACTGGCATTGCCACTTGCAAGCAGGGGAGGGGCCCAGAATTGAGGGGGTCTATAGGAAAGCGGACTTTGAACGAGCTCTTTTTTGGGCAATTTTTGGAGGTTTCTCGCAGGATTTATGGCTGGTCTGTTTTACTTGAAAATTGGAACTTAAGGGTTTTGAGACCCAATCTTTCCGATTGTCACCTTTTGTAATTTGGATGCCATTTTCATAGCGAAATTTCTCTTTCAAATAGACAACAATTAATCTTGGACAGAGGAAGTAGAAAATACTGTATGCTGGGAAGAGGTTTGCGGCAGACAAACTTTCATGCATTTTGCGCTCGAGGCACTGCGTGAAAACATTTCTGGCGAATTTTTTGGCTGAGTGCATTGTTTGAACCCGCGAACTTTTCGACCGCTCTACCAAGGCGTTTTGGGCGCTGGGCGCCCTATCGCATGTTGGCTTGTAAAGCGGCGACTGTGAAGTGCAGCGCTCTTTGCAGAGTAGCCATTGTCGCAAAGGAGCCCTGGGCTCCCCGCCAACTACTCTGCAGCAGCTCGGCCGTTGCTCTCTGCCTCATTCTGTCCTCGGTCAACAGCGCCTCCAGCACCTAGACTCTTCATTGCTGCATTCCATTGACGCCAGATAGCGGCTCGTGCAGCCAACGCCCCAGAAATTTTCGCGAAGGAAAAGTTTTGGCGCACCATCAAGCGCATGAAGACATTGCCGCGCAAACATTTTCTTCCACGAAATCCGCGAACACGTTTTTGCGCAATTATTTTTTGGTCCACAATTAGCCATTAGCCCCATGCTGCTGCGCACAGGAGCAGCTCCTCCGGCAGGAGGACGAGGCACTCAGGTCCGACCCCGAGCGGTACCTTGAGGCCCTGAAGCAGCGCCACCGGACCGCGGCACAGCGCGTCGAGAACCGAAAGCGCCGCCGCCTGGGCGCAGCCACCGCAGGTGCCTCAGACGAGCCTACAGCGGCCGGCTGCCGGAGGGTGAGCAGCGAGCAGCGACACAGGATGCGGCTGCTGGCGCGGGCCGCAGCGGAGGGGAAGAGGCTGCCCGAGGAGGACACCTTCGGGGAGAACGACAGGGACTGGGACGTGTACAAGGAGATGGACAGGAACTACTCGGACTCGGAGGTGGAGAGGGAAGACGACACGGAGTACAACTGGACAGCTGCGAGGTTGCAGGTGGGGCTGCGCCCACCCGGGGCGGGAAGGGGGGGCGCGGGCGCTATCCTCTGTGATCTACGGTGCTTCTGGTCAGTACTGCTCTGCATGAAGCGCAGCTGGACGTTTGTGCATTGTTAAAACGCTGGTGATAGGCAGTGGGGTGAGCACTGTGTGACATCGTAAATCGCCTGTTTGCTGATGAGGTTTGCATGGTGCGCTCCGTAGCGAAGTCAGTCCGCAGACTCGGCTTACTGGTGACCGGGTGCAATTTTGTTTAAGAGTGGAAACGCGGACCGCAATGATGGCAGCTAGGCAGTGTAGCTGCAATTGCAATGTGGCTGCGGGACGTCTCCAGCGATGCTACAGGATCGCCGAGTGCGCTAACTGAATAGTGACGGCATTGTGCCAATATTGCATCAAAGGTGCCGGACCCATGTGCCGAAGAAAAGACATTAATCGTCCCTTGTATGGCAACATGCTGCAGCGCATCAGTGAAAGCGGCTGGAGAGGTGTTGGGGGTTCCCTGGTCGTGCGAAATTTTCTCTGCTCTGTATGGTGACCAGAGTACGGACTTGTCAGAATTTATGGATTATGTGAATTATTTGAAATAGAACAAAGATTGAAAAACAGTCACGCAGAACTCTTGTAGAATATGAATTCTTCCTGATCGTGGCCTTTCCGCGTCCAAGCTTTTGGACCGTTGCGAGGCAGCAGCTGCTTTGAGCAACCTATCAAACATCACTTACGCTGCCATGGCGACAGGGCCTGGGGCAGGCCTCATGCATCGTAGACATCAGCGGCGATCGGCCAGAAGAAGCGCAGCCGCAGGTGGCGGAGGACTACCAGCTGTGCCTGGGCGTGGAGCGCATCCGCGTCCCAGAGCTCCTGTTTCAACCCTCCATGTGCGGCATCGACCAGGCAGGGGCCGGCGAGGTGCTTGCCATCATGCTACGGGAGATGCCTGCGGAACTGGCGGAGAGATGCGCAAGTGGGGGCCTGCTGATCACTGGGGGCAACAGCGCCTATCCAGGTGCGTTATGAGCCGTTCTGCTGTGTTCGTTTCTCTTCATTCTCTTGTTCTGGTTCCGCTGTATTGCAGCACAACGGCAGCTCCGGGTGCTGCCGCCATCCTGATGGTATGAATATTCGAATCTCAACTGCCGGGGCGACACGCGCGGGATTTTTCATTCAGAAGAAAAACGCGGGAGCTGTTGCTGGCCGATTGGGAAGGACTGATTCGTTTCATCTTTCTGACTGTCTACCCCCTGCCATGCTGTCGAGTGTGTGCCTTTCCTTTTGGATTTCGGTGATCACCCAGACGCTGTTCATCGAAATTGGGAACAAACGGCATTGTTGCAACGCTGCGGGCGACTCCTGTGGTCGCACTTGTCCGTGGAATTCAACGCGTGAGCCATCCAAAGAGGATCTGACAAAGGCAGGCAGGGTCGAGGCCTGGCTGGGGACCGTAGGCTCAAGTACACGGCAATGGTTGGCAGCGGAGCAAAGGGACGACAGCAAGTCTGTGTATATCTGGTCCGTTCATCAGTGCCCCTAATCCAATTCCTGATGTATCATCATCTCCTAATGCGTCCAGCTATTAGTAACACCCAATCAGTTCTTACTACAACACCGTCCGGCTCAAATGGAAGCACGTGTGCCTCTGAACTGTCCCCGCAGGCCTGGACGTCAGGTTGGAGTCCGAGCTGCGGTCGTCCCGCCCCGAAGGGCGACCCATCCGGGTGGTGAGGTCGCCGGACGCCATGCTGGACGCCTGGCGGGGGGCTGCCCTGATGGCCACGGTGCCCGGCATGTTTGAGGGGGCGTACACCAAGGCGGAGTACGAGGAGAGGGGCCCGCAGGGCCTCAGGCGGCGCTGCCACGCCTCTTACAGCCTTCCCTTCCGCCAGCAGGGCCCGTGAGGCTTCCCACGCGACCAAAAGGTGAATGGCCAGCGGACTTGCCCATTGCTGTGGAAAGGAATCATTGGAGATGTTGGGATCGAGGAGGGGTAGAGGAGTGCGCCCACGGCTTACGCCCGTCCGATACGCCAATGGGTGCCTGGCCTGCTAGACGCAATAGATCATTGGTGTTGACATAGCCGTTTCAGGTTTCGAGGGTATGTACGGGGATGGCAGACTTGTGATGGACGCGGTCCGGCCCTCTGTGTGCAAGACGCTGTATTCTGCGCATGCAGATGAAGGGGGCGCCGGCGTGCCGTGTCTTAATTGTGTACGAAGGTCGTGAAGCGGGTCATCTGTGCATGCTCAATGCAATCAATGTAGGATAAGCATTCAGCGGCGGGTGCGGCTGCTGGGATAAACTAAACGCAGCGCAAGCACGGCACAGAGCCAGACCTGGTGTTTTCGTGCAATCAGGGGGTTTGTTCAGGCAACACGGCGCTGCTGTACATCGACTATGTGCGGCATATGCCCGAGCTCCATTTGTGCAGCAAATTTGGGCATTTGGGCATCATGCGATGCCAAGCACATTGCCCGCCACGCTGTTCGTTGGTAGCTGGATTGTCTCCAGCAGATGCGCGGTTTCCGTCAAAATGCGTCTTGCGCACATGCACATCAGAGGGCCGCTGGTGAGAGCACCTATTCGTGGTAGTCTGTCATCAGAGCCATTCTGATTGCGCTTTGTGCATTGCATCAGCCACTGTAGTTTATCAACTGAGCAATCACATCGACGGCATTGATGCCGTCATGTTTGCTGCTGCCCAGCTTCTGTGCCCTTGCTTAGGAGGAATGCGCGGCAAAACAGCAGATCCCCGAATCCACTACAAGAATGCTTCATTCTACTTCAAGCTAATTCACCACAATTCAACCCAAACAATGCTGATCGTACAGGGCTCGCTATCGCATGGCACTCGCTCGCCACAGTCCACGAAGACGAAGAAGAGACCCGAGGAAAGCATGAGCCAAGACGCCTGCCACATTTCCTGAACCCAGACCCGGCGTGTCACCTCCGCACCCATCGCCACCGCTCACGATGGTCAAACAGGCTTATGACCAACATTGCCTGGCACAAGACCACAGGGCAGTGTAGTGTCACTTCCAGACTCATGCAAGCTTGAGATTCGCATGTCATTCACAATGAACTGGCGCCGCCAGGGAAGGGGCCGGCCAAGGCCTCGAGCAGAGAGCTGCCCACAGCAGACAGTTCCAGGTGGGACATCTTGATGAGGTGCGCCAGCTCCTTGCGCTCCGACACCCAGTCCTCAAACGTCTGCCCGTTGCGGTTGTCCAGGTAGCAGCGGAAGGAGATCAGAAAGATGTAGCGCTGGAGGTAGTGCAGGCCGAGCTGCTGGACCTCCTCCCCCGCCCTCTGCTTGTCCTCACCCAGCGTGTACTTGCAGCTCAGGATGTCCTCACGCAGGTTGCCCACATTGTGGCACCTGTCCACAAAGAGCAAGTACATCAGCCACCTGGTGAAGCGCTCTACTGGCCAGCGACTGATCAGCCAGCCAATCCGACACTCAGCTGCTCAATCCACTGCCCCATGAAAGACCGCCATAACGCAGGTTGCCCGTATCGTGGCAGCTTTCAGCAACGGGGGTGTCCAATTGACGCTGCTATCTCCTTGACAGTTGGTGCACCCAAAAGATCCAGACCAAAACCTGTTGAAAGATGTGCTGCCTCAGCAGAAAGAGTACAGTCATGATGTTGCTCACAGTCAATAAGTCAACAAGTAAGCCAACCAATCAATCGACAGACAGTACCCGACCAGTCCATCAATGTATCAGCCAGCCACTCAATCAACGGGTCGCTCAAAGCTGCCATCGCACATGTGCAAGCAGCATGACGCCTGTCCACAATGAGCCTACCCGCCAACATGGCGGCCAATCGATCGAACACAACTGCCCTTAGGTGTTGCTTCGCCTCTACAGCACCCAAACCCTCACGACGCACGTGTACTGTAATACTGTGGAAAAGCATATATGGCGTGCGGATCAGAGTGGTGCCTGGCCCAATCTATGCACAGACCGCCTTGCCTATCTCCATCTCCTCTTCTCAACCCCCGCCCCATCCCCCCTCTCCCAACTTCCCCCTCTTCTAATTCGACTTCATGCACCTGTCCACGGCTTCGTCGACGGCTGCCTTGTGGTTCAGCCCATTCGGCAGCAGGCGGCACAGGTTGAGTATGATCCGGTTGTCCCCAAGTGCAAGAGCAGGCATGCCTTGGTTGGAGGATGCATCCGGAGCAGCCTGCAGGCGAAAGCGATCGTCTGGGGGCCCTGCTGCACAGCAACACACACAAGAGTGCCTCATGCCCAAAGTGCATATCTACGCAGCTGCTCACTTCTGCTTCGGTTGGTTCTCCGGGCAAGGTTTGCCGCCTTCAAGCACAACCCAGATTGCACATGCGACGACATGGTGTCAATCAAAGCTTCCCTCACGGTGATGCCACGCAGTTTGGCATCACTCGCATTCCATTCCCAGTTTCAAGGGGATCTTGTGCCGCACTTTGACCATTGCAATGAAAGCAAAGTCCACCAAAGAGAAGCCCTGTCAGCCTCAAGGCACAGCAAACGCAAAGTGACATTACCCATGGACATCTGACACAAAATGAGACTTCAATCATGCTCAAATACTGGCTGGCAATTGGTGCGCTGGACACTCTTGTAGTCAAGCACGCTGCAGTCAGTTAACTCTTGAAATGCCCAAAGGAGCTCCTCACCCGGATCCCTCCACAGCAGGTACGCACACATGAAGGCTGCGGCAAATCGCGGGCTGCTCCCTGTTGCCATTCTGGCGAGGATGAGGTGCACCACGCGGCGCCCAGCAGCGTCAATCTCCACCTGTCGCCCGACCTTGTCAAGGTCTCCAGCCACAGGGGTGCGCTCTCGCGACAAGGGTATCCTGGCGTACGTCAGGTGGAAACCCCTCTCCGACGCCAGCCTCTGGACCACGTCTTTGGGGCTGCAGACGCCGTTGTCAAGGTCGACTGAGTCTGTCGTCTCGCGCCACAATCCCACGACGGCCGCGCCAGGGTTGAAGTCGGAATGGTGGGTGATGTCATCCCGATGGCCGCCGTGAACTGTGGCTGGAGGCCAAGCCAGCAAGAAAAGGGATTCAACAAGATATTGGAAGGCTGCACTGAGGGCATGTGCATTTTTGTTTCGATTCCATCATACTACATTTTGAGTCAAAATGCAATGTGAGGGTAATAACAATCGGCCATTTTGATAATGTGGACGGCATCTGTCAGAGAATGACATAACATTGCCCTTGAACCAGGTGTTCTGGAATTTTGAATTGGAATTGAGAGTCCGTCCTCCAGCCATTGTACTAACAACACCCTTCTGGGTTTGCACAGAATAAAAGCTGTCATCAGTAGAGGCAAAATGGTTAAATTCGACAAATTCTCTAGGATACAGGCTCCATGATCAAATACGCATTGTCCGAAGAGGCAACAGCTGGCAGTTTTCTTGCTGCACAGTGTCTGGCTTAGCATGCGTTCCAATTCAGTTCAATAACGTGATCGAATTAGCCCCTCTTTTGCCCCATCAAGCTGGTACTTCGGAAACTGCTCTGATATAAAAAATCGTCAGTTTGAACATTAATTTTTTGTTGTTGCCAACGCATTGAAGCTGCAAGGCTACAGATTTGCCACATCTGGCACTTGCAGCCAGTGCACGTTGGCACACAAACATGGAAGCAAACAAGGCACACTGCAACTGCCAAACATCTGAGCATCTGACCATGGCATAATTATCCATGCCTCAATGTGTGGATCGGACGATCACATGTCGAAGACACACTCTCATGTGCCTGGTTGGGCATGTATACCTCATATCCATCAACCAGCTGTGGCTCCCAGATTGCAGGACAGAGTCGCGACACAACACTGCACTGGTTCACCTTCAAACGCACACACGATCAGTGCCCATCAGACGCTGGTAATCAAGCCCTCACAGGCTGCCCTCACTCACCATGCCCGTGGCCAATGTCATGCCTGTGCACCTCCTTGTGGACCAGGATCTTCCCGTCCCACCTCTTGGCCTCCAGCTGCACATCCTCCTTTAGTGCCTCCTCCATGCGCTGCAGCTGGTCCGAGGTCACATTGACATGGTGCAGGGAGAACACGGGGCGCTCCAAGTCTCGTCGGAGGTAGGGCCGCCCAGATACATACACCACCAGCTCCTCACGTATGTCGCTTAGCACAACATGGGTGGAGCCGCTGGGGCCGGCATCAAAGTGGGACAGCAAGCGTTGCATGCCCTCAACAGATGGGTTGCCTGTTTGCAGGGCACAGACTGACTTACCAAACATCTTTGAAGGGAAACAACTGGCATTCAAGGCATTTAAATATGCCGCTCATGAAAACTAACGAACAAGGGCAGAACACAAGACAACACACATACCTACTGTTCAAGACAGACGACTCCAACTACCATATGACACATCCATGCACTACAGAACTGGATACCTGGCACTGAGGCATAGAGGGTGTTGGGGTGGGAATGGGGGTTAGTCCCCTGCATTCGTCCATATTGCTTTGTCTCATAATGGCCATAAGAACAAAAGAGCATACGTGACCTTCAGGAGCGGCACAGCATTCAAAACTCACAATGCCAATCAAGCAGTTGAAATGCCTTGCAGATAGTACCCAGGGTCGTCATAGATTTCGGCACAATATCCCTGGAACAACCTGTTATTTCTGCCTTTGAGCCCATTATCCCAGCCTATTTCTCCTGTGCAGATTGTTTGCCGTGGTCAATTTGGTGTTGGCTGGATGATCTTTGGTTTGCACTCAGTTTTTGACTATTGCTCTGTTCCTTGCCTGTTGAGATTGTTGCTCTGGTGCGTTTCTTAGCTGGCAGATTTGGTGGGCCTGCCACAGATCCACTGGGCCAGGCATGTTTGGGCCAAGACTATTTCGTTCCAATACATGCACGAGCGAATTGTTCACCGCATGAATATTCCTCCATCTGGATGTCAATCAGGTTCAGGCAGTCTGAATCAGCACGGCTTTGCAGAAAATCAGACAGGCTACTATTGTCCTCTTCGTGGCTGGCGGTGCTTGATTGTTCATAGAGCGTACTGGACATCTGTGGTGGCCACCGGGAGCTCACCGATTGCATACACCGGCACCCCCTCCACTTCGCGAACGTCCGGCACCCCCGGTGGCATCTTTGACCACTGGCCAGTCACCAACTGGGTGCTGTGATAGCTCTTCAGGATTGTCCTTGCAGTCAGGGTGCTCCCACGGCGATCAGCAAGGACCTGCTGCTCGTCGACATCTGGGCCATCCCCGAAGGCAACCCTCCCCGTCATGATGGGTGTGGGGTCAGGAATCACAGACAAAGACGCAGCAGGGTTGAGGCTGATAGATGCCAGAGCCAGCTGAACGTCCCCCCTGGCTGCAAGCCAATCCTGCCAAACACCACTGGAGTTCACGATGAGACCAAGCGGCAACAAGAAATGGGGCTGCAACAGGAGGGGTTCTGCAAAGCACCATTCTGGCCAGGCTGCAAACAGGAGTAAGGTGGAAAAGCGTGTGCCATGAGAATCGCCTGCAGCCTTGCATGCAAATTGTTTCAGCACAGTCAATTTATTGCAACACGTGCCTGCCATAGTGCTTGGGCTCTGTACAGCAATGAGCCTGCTGTTGGACAGTCAAAGCAAACCGAACATGGCACTTAGTTCCACCTTCTCTCTGAAAAGAGGGACTGAGAAAGGGGCAGATCCTAGCGCAATCAGCAGAACTCGCAAGAGGAAAGAAAATGACCCACCCAAACCAGCCCCTCCATCCCAGGGAAACAGGTGCTTTTGCTTTTACAAACAAGGCAGTGTAATCAAGGTTCAGGCAACTGAGGTCATGCCAAATGGCCAATGGGCAATTTTGACCACGTGGAGCTTACCTGGAAAGTTGTGGAGTTGCCCCTGGCCATGTAGTCTAGGAATCCAGAGAAAGCAATCAGCAAACAGTAACGCTCAAGATAGCCCATACCGCCTTTGAACGATGCATGCCTTTGGTGTGTCTCAGCCTCTTTGTAGCCTGGTTGTGGCCGATTGCACCTTCACACAGCGGCCCATCCATTCACACCAAAATGAGCACTGGTGTCAGATCCATGCTCCCAAATCCGCAAGCACAGAGTGGCCATACCAGGTGCTGGGCGAGGGCAAGTCCAGTTGAGTAGTCAGCCAGTCAACCTCCCAATCAGTCAATACAATAGTCACAAAATGAACAACGCAACTGCTTATCAAGTAAGGGCCAGGCCTCAAGACAAACTGCCCCTGCATCAGCTCCCTCACAGACATAATGTCAATGGGGAAGCCTCTGCGAGTGTAAGATGCACAGGCTACCTGATCGCCTTTCGAAGGTTGACAAATAGCCCACAGGCATCGATGATTTTATCAGTGGCCTCCTTCAAATTCAGTCCCCAGTCCAAGAGACGCACCAGCCTTCTCACTGCAACATAAGCGCCCTTTTCCGAGGCATGCCGCTCTTCAGGATCCTCAACGTCAAAGTCCTGCAGTGGCAGGAGGGAGCCATCAGCAGCCATTTCCTTCCTACCTCCATTTCGTTTTCAATCTTGCCACAACATCTCATTGGCATTTGCGAGTTGGAATGAATGGCATTCGCAAGGTACTGTTGATGATGAAATACCCTTCTACAAAATATGTTAGCATTAAATATACAACATCAAAATTGACTATTAGCTGTTCAGCTCCACTGCCTTCTGAAACTGCATTTCCATGGTAAGTGACATAACAACACAGAATTAAATTGAACTAACCCTGACCCTGCTGTACTTCACTGGTTCGCATATTTGGACCAAATTTGAAAATCATCTGCCACAGATATTGCCCACCATGCATGCATACCTATCGGCTCGGGTGCACACGTGTGCCTGCCACATAAGCAGATGCTCTGGTTGTGTGACACGATTGTAGCATAACCACAAAGCAAAACAAGAACAGAACCTGAATGCTGGCGTCCCTATGTTTTGATAATGTGCTCGTCAGTGCATTGCCATGCCATGTACAGTCACAAACTTCAGATTGGAGAACTCAAACCAGCAATGGTTCTCACCGGATCCATGTCGGCCGGCCATCTTCCAGCTGGAGACTTAACTATTTGCATGGCATCGATGCGGTTCAAAGACTCTGCAAACCAACGCCACAGCACCAACCACTGCAATCATCATCAGATTCGTCTGGGAAGATATAGAAAGGGGAGCAGCAGCGCTATCTGCCATACTAAAAGCACAATACACGTGCCGTGAACGCAGGGAACAAGTATTGCGCCTAGAAAGCAAAGTCGACACAAGGATTAGGTAGCACAAAAAGACGAAATGGATCGCAGATGATGCAAGATACAGGGATGGGTGCTTTTTCCACATTCTGCAACAGGCCTGACGCACAGAAATCCATCATTTAAGGAATCACGCATGCAACCATTGGCGCCAGTTACCTATGGTCTCCTCAGTAAGAGAGGTATGGTAATTCGACACTGACTCAGACAGTGGCTGCTTACAGCGGCACAGCTTCATGAGACAGGCCATCACCATCGCCGTAGTGGTCCGACCAGCTCCATTCTGGCAGTTGAAAATCAGAGGCGCTGAAGGGCCACAGTCCCTCAAATGCTCCACGAGGGCGTCCACATCTTCGGGCTGCAACAGGACAAGGATTGGCAGGCTTCACAACTTGGCATGGTGCATCACAACCAACATCAAAGCGCTACACAGCTTTGCTGTTGTGTGCAGTTGTCTGAGCTCTAGGCTAAGGGTGCCTGGCCTGGAAGGGTGTTGGGGATTCGATGTTCCGACAGCTGATTGGACGATGTTTCCCAGTGCTCAGCTCAGTGCAATATGCACGAATGCAGACAGAGCAACATGCCAGCACTCATAGACTCAATCTGTGCATAAAAGATGCAGGCGACATGTGCAGACTCTTGCTCGGAACGATGCCCGACATTCTGACAATCAGGACACTGCAAGGTTCACAGAAGGCAAGAATGAGACATTAAGACAACTGAACATCCAATTTGCACCCTGCTGCCAACATGGCTGTAGCCGTTTATCACCTGAGAGGTGAAAAGCGACTGCGTTACGTGTGCGACACGATCATTCAAGGCAGAAATCAATTGCCATGCAGGACACATTCCCAATACATGGTGCATTTTGGAGATGAGGAAACAAGCACACTTTTGGCAACACCCAACATCGCTCAATATTGCAGCAGCAATCTGCTTTGCGACTTCCCAACAATTGGAATCAACTTGTGACACTGCCACCCTAAGATTAGAGAGCATGGCATGATGATGGAGCCTGCAGCCACCTGATAGACGGTACCACATGTACCAGTGGCAAAGTACGAGCACAAGCTGTTCCTGTTCCATGACAAAAATCGGCACAAACCTTGATAGTATAGCAGCAGGTCACAGCTTCAAGCATTGCACCAGTTCAAAGCACCAATCGGAACTTCGATTGAAGGGGGCAGCAGTGCAAGAACCAGAGCTGCGATCAGCCAAACACAATTGCCTTGGAGTAATCAAGTGCTGTGAAGTGCTGCTTTAAGCGTTGTGGAAAGTCTGTGGAGCTGCATACAACATGCAAGCAAGAAAAACAAAATACGCATTACAATTTATTGTGTGGGGGTCAAGCACACCCACTCGTGGAGGTGTGCCATCGGTGACAGGCACCCTGTAGTAGCGCACAAGGAAGCCTTCGGCCTGTAGTGTAGAGTAGACCTCTGCTGGCGTCTGGACCGCCTCAGCACCACCGACACGCTCCCATACATCCACAAGACAGCCAATCGAACCGTCTGACGGCGTTTCTCTGGCCACCAGGATCTTGCCACAAGGATCTTGACCATCATCAATATACCTGGCAGCCTGATTGCACACAAATGCAACCCACATTCAAAGGGATGGCTTTCATGGTTGTGGGTCGGTTGGGATGACTGCCAGCGAGAGCTGGGAGTCATCGCAGATGCCAGCATCGGCAAGGCATGCAAGCGGATGAGGCATCAAGTAGAGACTAACAGAGAAGCATAATTTGGACATGCAGCATTGCAAACATGCGTTCTCTTGTATAACCTGCCCCCACACAAACGATTTTCCAACACCTGGACGAAAGTCCAACTGCTTTCACACAGACCAATCCAATTGTGCAATCTGCATCCCGGTTCTTGCACGACGAGGACAGGTTGAGCTCTTGCAAAACCACAGCTGCGCAAAATTTGTCACTTGACACACAACAACCTCCGCGAAGTAAGCAGCTGCAAATGCACCAAATTTGCCCACACCACACCTTCATATGTCTGCATTGGATGGACACATAGCAGCAAGAAGACCTTATTGCTGCCAGATTATCTTTGTGGTATGAGGCAGAACTGCATTTTAAAGCTCGAATCAGCTAAAATGAAAACAGGTCTGGTCTCCAAGGCACCTTGGAGGCAACCCTGATGGTAGATGTTGATTAAAATCGTTGATTTGACCGGATTTGCTCAGACGGCTGAAGTCACTGAAATACCCTAGCCCCCGCACCCTCCCAGAAATAAAGAACAATCCGTGTGGGCAGAGCTGTCCAGCAAATCACCTCATTAAGCACATCAGTTTTCAAGCGTGATTCCATTTGCTCCAGGCGGCCTGCGTCGATCCCACCATACTCTCTGAGGTTCTTGAATGGACGAGACTCATCCCTCAAAACAAAAGGCCGGCCATTGATGTAAACAACTGGCTCCTCACGCATGTTGTGCCAAATGGCATGGACCTTGTACATCCACAATTCACAAGTGGGATGGCAAACAGCTGTACAATCAAACGTGGTGCCAAATTGGGCAAACAATGGAACAAACAACACAGCACACAGCATACGCATTGTAGACAGCATTGCCGTGGCAATTATGCAACCATGCTTCTGCAAGGACATACGCACATTCTGTACTGCCAGATTACTCATGCAATCTCAAGTTTAGCAAGTTTAGAAACATGTGCAAAACCTGTTTTGCAAGCACAAGGGTTGTGTCTTGTCCCTTCCTCACAACCATGGCCAACGGATTGACACATCACACAGTTGCAGTGCATATATGTCAATTCCACAACAGCCAAAATTGTGGCATTCACAACTGCAATAATGGGAGTTGCACCAACAAGGCACATCATCTCATGCTTTAAAGCAGCAACAGGGGTCGCACAAATTCATGGATCTAAGACAGCATGGAATTTCACCTTATGCGTGCTCCCAGCCCCAGCTTGAACGTGTTTCAGCACATTCCGGATGCCGTCCACGGAGGGCATAGCCACACCAAAGACAGGGAGCCCAGCAGCAGCCCTGCATGCCATGGACAAAGGGCATTTGAAAGGTGCACAGGTCTGTCGACTTTGGACAATACAACTACAGGGAACAGCCCTCCATCGCTTTGTAGTGAGCATGTTTTTCTGTTATCTTGTCATCTGGACTTTGCGAATATATTGAAATAAACAAGCAGTTTCATTTGCTCCTTTCCATTGTGAATGCTGCTAAAATAACACTATTCAGTATCCATTCTAACACAAAAATAAGTAACAGCAATGATAGAACACAACCATCATAACGAATGAAAATGTCCTATGCGTGCCAAAGCAACGTTTGTCATGTTGCATCCAACCCAAAAGAGATCACTACCTTGTAGGTGACTGAGCAGCGATTTGCTGTCATATGCGCACACACACACTGCTGTCAATCATGACTCATAGATTACTATTTCCTACATCACACAAGAAATGGTCCCTATGACTTTACACCACTATTTCTACATCAAAACATATCAACATAATTGCAAGATATTTTTGGCACTTATAGTTGTGAGTGTAGAGGATTGCATCCAAGAATTTGATCTTTATTCAAAGAAATGAGAAACAGACAATGCATCGACTCCCCTCAGCTCCAGTCCAAAGTAGCCGAATTTCATAAGCTTTCCAAAACAGCCAACCATTGCGAGGGTGAAGGCGTCTCTTCTGACCAGTGCCAAGGCCGCACTTTGAAAACTTGCAATACCACTTGATTTTGTGGACAGTACAGTCATCCCAATGAGGCTGGGTCGTCGATAAGGGCTTGATCAGCGATCGTGGTCTGATCGTCGATTTTGTACCCAAACAAGTGCCTCTCGGCTGATAGCAGAATGGACCTAGAGAAGTTGTTGACTTCAGTTTTGGCGTGCCTTTGAGGGTTTCAGAACCCTTCTTTCCAGATTTGTTGTCGGTTCGAGCGTTTGCTTTCATCAACATATGGATATAGTGATTCTATGTAGAAGATATTCGTTGTGGGACAGAGGAAATACATCCTAATCCAATCAATCAATTCATGGCTTGCCATCAACTGACCAGTCAATCCAGTAATCACAATCCTCAACAGAAGCCTAAATCAACTAAGCACCATTCCTGATGTCACACTTCCTCTGTCTCGAGTTACTCACCAACACTTTTTGAGGGACCGCAATTGTATCGTGTACTTCTTAGTTTACTTTGAAATCAAACTAGTGCACCCAGCAGGGATTTATTCAATGTTCACTAGAAGTTGCAGATGACCAAATCTGAGAACGATCGAGGGTGCTGACATAAGCAATTTGCCCACAAACAGCATCAGCTCCGATCTTTACCTGAAATTAGGTGCACCGTCAATGACCTGGGGTATGTGCTGTTTCTGCATTCCTGGGAAATGATCTTCTTTCAAGATGGTCCACCGACCTGCATTAAAAGCAGGGAGTCAGTATTTGGTTGTATGACCATTGTGTGACTGTCTTACAGAAGATTGCCATAGAGTGGCACATTGCAACCATCGGGCTCCATATTTTGATCAAGTTATATAATGAGTTGCTGTATTTTGATCCCACTAGTACATTTTGATCACATTAATGAAAACAAATATGTTGGTATGAAATCACAACTAAGGTGGATGCACCTGTTGTACAGCACATACAATGGAGACTGTGGCCTCAGCAATTGTCGGGCAGATCTACATGTACTTGAAAGGATGAACTTAGATGCCACCGATCACAGACTGAGCAGCACAAAGCTGGAGCACGCTGGGGACGCCATCAGTGGGCTGGTGGCCATCGGGTGTCCAGTGTATCAAGCTGTTCCCAATATCTCACCCAAGACTGTCCCCATTCGGCTTGAAATTATTGGTCCAGTAGGGTCGGATTCGATGTCCTGGGCAGGGACGGCTGTTGAGGTGCAAACATGCAAAGTCAGCACCCTGGCCCAGTTCAAGGCATCCATTCATCCTTGCAAACTTTGTGATGAATGCTGCAAGCCATATAGTGGGGCCAGCAGTGTGTGCAACGACACCCTGAGCCCCTGCCCCAGCTCTTTAGCCCAGAGATTTTGCCAGAGCCTCCAACACTAAGCCCACTTTGGCACGCTAATAATGCAGGTAATGGTCTGCCAAGTCCAAGCCAGCAGAATTCATGACAGGCAGGATGCCTGTCCCCGATTAAGCAGTTTATGGCTATGCTTCCTGTGGCCAGAGCCACAAAGCACAGAAAAGCAGCCACATGTCCGGCCAAATGACAATCATCCCTCACTCCCAATACTAGCGCCCTCATGCATTTGTTAAAGATAGAAACTGTGAAGTTTTGTGGACTGAGCTCGCCCCTGCAGGGCAGCACAGTGCCCTTGGACATTGAAGGCGATGGCATGCGATGATGACACCAATGTCACAAGCAACATCAAAAGCCACATCGTTATACTTCAATCTCGATGCAAGGTTAAGGCTGCAGGGGAACAAAACTGCCAAGGTCCAAGCCAAGAATGAAAGACTTAAGGAATATGATGGGGCCACAATTCATGGTGGTCCAGACTCCTGCCACAGGGCACAAGAACTTGCCTGGTGACTGTCCAGAAACGTCCAGCGTTTGTTCGTCGGCTGGGACTATCTTGTGCAGGTCCAATGCTGTCATTCCATTCCGCCGAAGCATTCGTTGCAGGACACTGCACCACATGGACGAGGTAAAGTGAGGAGCGATTGACGGGACATCTTGACACTGCAGATGCACACATGTCTGATTCAAGCAGTGGGTGCAAAGGAGCTGCCTCACTATGAAAAGGCAAATGCGTACAAGTGGACTTCCACAGCAACAATCGTCTGGTTTCAATTGCGGCCATGACCTCAACTCAGAACACTGTAACGACAGGATAGCATTCTCTTGCATTTCTTTCCTGTTCATCCCCTGTTGCCCCTTTGTCCTTTAGGTACCTAAGCAGGGTTCGTGGGCCTATGAATAGACTGTACCACAATAAAATTCAGTCTGAGAAATTATCCATTTACAGTGGCCTGTGACAAGGGCATGGGGAAGTGCTTTGTCTCCAAGATATAGGTGTTCGTTCTTGAATAAGGAAGAGGCGCTGAAGCGACTCAACAGTCAAAGATGGGGTCCAACAGCTGAGCTCTTGCTGTGCACAACTTCAGCAGCAATATCTCGCAGGATGCAGTAGCCAATTGGAAGGCATAATGACCATTCCTGACTACCTCCTGGCTATGACATGATCCGCATACTTTCCAATGCCACGATCCAGTGGGCTTGATTAAACTAGGGCATCAATAGCATCCATCGATTTGTCACCTGCCTCAGAAGCAACAGCAGGCTACAACCCCACTCCAAGACACAGCCAAACACACAATAGATCTGTGCTGTGGAGATGGTCACAAACCTTTTGAGCTCTGGCCTCTCGGCCATGAACTGTGTGAATCTAGTGGTGAGAAAATGTGGATTTGCAAGGTAGGAAGTGAAGATGATCAAGACGCAATATCGCTCCAAGTACTCCTGCACCCGGCACCCAACAAAGGTGAGAGATTGTAGCCATCCCCGATGTACTTCCACTGTATTGTGATAAGCACTGCAAATACAATTGTTGCATTATGATCTATGATGGCAACGAAGTGATTCTGGTATATATGTGTTTGTCTTGTGTGAGCATTTGCGCCTGAGTTACAAATTCCTAGGTTCTTTTCATTGCTCCTCTTCTGTACTCCACGATTAGCATGCTGCCACATCCCCTAACAGACCAGGGTTAGTGGCAAAATATTCCATTCGTTTTGCAAATAAACCAAGCAGAAATTGTTGTGTAGATGCATCTGAACTAAACTGTTTTCATGGCTGTTGGAAAGACCTGCACCATTGTGGCCATGACAGTGGCAGATCACTTCTGTCATCTTCGCTGTTGCTTTTGGTTGTTTTCATGTGGTCCAGGCAAACAACAATGGCCCCCACTTGGGATTGGCTTTCAAGGCAGAACAGTTTTTGGACATCTACCTAAATAAGACAAGGGCGTGACATTATCCAGGACTGGTAATCAGTTTGAAAGTGTTCTCTGATCAATGAAACTGGACACGAATGTGCAAGACAAGAACTGATAATCCACTGAATTCAAGCAGGCGCCACAGAGAACTCAACTATTTTGCCACTCAGCAACATCGCAGCCATGACCATACCATTGCACAAAAACACACCAGGCCACCCTCAGTGCTGATAACTGGTGTCAGCAACTCAAGTACAAAAACAACTTGGATGCAACAACTGCACATCATTCCCATTGCAGGCGCAGGAAAATATTCCACCAGACAGTGGCACCCTGGGCATGCACCAAAGGGAGAAATGTACTCACCAGGCACACACCCAATAAGTCATTCCGCCTCCTTTCATTGTTTTCTTCTGTCATTCGGTTACGGTACACCAGGATGGCCTCCCGAAGGTTCTGCATCGCGCTGCACGCGTTGATGACCTTGTCCACCACCTGCTTCCCCTCCTGACCCAGTTCGAGAACGCGAATGAGACTTCGAACAGTGCCATACATCCCATGCTTCAGTCGAGTGTCCCCATCACCTTTGTAGGTGGGGCTGGCGGACAGTTTGAACCAGTCAGGGCCGCAAGTTTCTGAGCACCAGCCAAACAGTCAGCAAGGAAGATTCACCCTCCATTCCGCAGCATAAACAAGCTGAAACTCTGTTATGCGATGCAAACAGCTACTGGGGGCATTGCAGTACGGTGATGTGCATAGTGAACAGTCAGGTTGCACAGGGCTTGATCAATTCAAAAGCCCTGCCAAACAACTAATGGCCTCTCCAACAAACTCACTTTCTCTCTTCACAAGCACATACTCTCGCCTCACATAAGCAGAGGCACACCTTCAAGTGCAGAGTTGGGAAATACTTCACGCTTCCTCAGGTGAAGCAGAGAGGCAATAATCATTCCTGTTGTTGTCCTCCCCCGCCCCATCTGAGGATTGGGCACACAACATCAGTATTCTCCATTGTACAAGTCGAATGTTGCACAGGCAGCAACGAAGCATTGTAAACAAAGAATGCACAGCTCGCATCAGCATTGCCAAGAAGTTGCCAATCTTCGAGCACCTGCCATATGGAGAGATATATGGAGAGCGTCTTGGCCTTGAACTCCACTAGTGCTACAGCCCAATCCAGCCTGGAGACACTATATTAGCAGGCACTGATCGTCATGCAATCTGGAAAGAATAGACAGTCCAGCCTACCTGGCAGTTGAACACAAGTGCAGCATCTGTGGGTGGATCCCAGCACCTCTGGATCAGCAACTCACAGTCTGTCTCCTTCGGCGCTTTCTCATCTGTCAATGGAACTCGAAGGTAGTCCACGTCGCATCCATCGGCTAACATCAGCAGCAGAGCACAGACCAAGCCATGAGCACTTTCCTATGCTCCAAGCAATCCTTGACAGTTCAGCCCACAAATGAAGAACTCACAGTGGCAGCTGCATCTTAAGCACTTCCTCTGTCCCAGATTAATTGTCGTCTATTTGAAAGACAAAATTCATGAAAGAACAGCCTCAAAATTACAAAACAATGACAAAATCTAAAAGATTGGGTCCCAAAACTCCTAAATACCAATTTCCAAGAAGAAAAAGTAAGACACGACCCTTTTGAGCGCAACGGAAAAGGAAAATTTTTGTCATTTGTGACAACAAGTTAAGGTTTACTAGGTAACAAGAACCTTGATATAAAGTACTGCCATGTCCTCTGTGCTTAATGGATTGATTTGAATTCTGATAGTGTACTCCAAACGCACAAGTACAATTTTGGGTGAAATTTCATTGAAAACTGATGTGGTATGATAAAGAAATAACGCCCCAAAGTCACAGACGACAATTAATCTGGGACGGAGGAAGTATGATGCGTTGTGTTCAGGATTCGAAAGCAGACAAAGTTGGAAGCAAGCATGCAATTCTGCAACGCACCAGGTACTGCATCAAATAATGTAGCAATGTCTGACCACAGGCAGCGAGCAGTCAAAATGAACAGATGCAGAACATAAGACCGCCCTTAAATATATGCATGTCAGTCATCCCTATTGAGGTGCAAGGGCACAGCTTTGACCTGCCGAATGCAATCCTCAAGGATAACAACAACGTACCTGCTACTCGAGCAAAGACATCATGCGGGGTCTGCACAGAGTCTTTATCCACATCTTCCCAAAATTGGACTACCTGGTAGTCATCGGTCTCACCAGCTAGCAGGACTTGACCACCATACCTGGCTGCCTACTAACCATGCCATCACAAAATTGTCAGAGGCCTGGTACGCAATATAATGAGAGACGAGAAGAATGAAACACAGGCAAAGGAACAACCACACAAACCAAGGAGATTTTCTTTCTTGCAATGATAGCATTGTCAACATGTGGATGGACGAAAGAAGATTCCACAGCTTGTGGGATATGCGAACCTCCTGGGCTTCATCGACTCAGTCCAGGTCGAAGATCATGTTTTCCCAGAGTGATGAATTCGTTGCATCACGGTTTGCTCACAAAGCCCTTACAGTTTGCGCCTTGTAGGTGGCAAGAGATGCAACAACATCCAACAAACGCTGTCCATGCCCCACTGAGTGTTGGTTGCAGTGGGTTTAGAAACATCTGGGGAAGTGACATGATGCTGGCACAAACCTGTCTGCAAATTGGAAAAGCTATGCATAGATTCATCATACCAAGAGCACAGCCAAACTGTGCGCAGGTGCAAGGGTTTGGTTCACTCCCTCATCAGACAAACAAACTAACTTGTCAAAATTGCCAGTCTCTGTCCTGAGCAAGCTGCATCACAGATACTCTATTCCCTTGGTGAAGGGTACACTGGGAACATGACAGCAAGAGTGTTCTCACCTCTTGAAGCACATCTTCCTTCATCCTCTCTTCCATCTCTTGCACTCTGGTGCCATCGATCCCTGAGATGCAACGACAAGGACAGACAGGGTCACGCTTGGTCAGCCTGCACGTAACATTACTGTGCTTTAGATAGTTCAGTAGGACACAGGGATACATAAACATTGTGACCACAACGTGTTATGGCGAGCAGCCCCAATCACTGCCCAGTAAGCGTAAGGCCAATGGTCACTCATGGCATTGACAAGAAAAAGAAAATTAGGAGTTGCATTCCCATTTATGCACTTGAAATCGCATCCTATCTCAGATCCACATTGTCCTGTCCTTACTCTGCCTGGACATGCAGCAATGCCCTACATTTCTGGCTGCATCGTCATTTCCTCATTCCAGCATCACTGGGGCAGCATTCCAGGGTTTAAAAGTGCCCACATTTGCCTTGAAGATACGAAACAGCAGCTCGCCATTTCTGATCAAAAATGAATTGAGGAGACTTCAACACACCTCACATCACACATGTGATCTGCCGACTGCAGGTTGCGCGCTGCCCAAACTGCAGCTGTTGCAAACCTCACACTCTCTGCCATAAGGAAGCCACAGGGTACACCATTGCTGGGAAAGCACCCGCTGCTGAGCTGTGGCACAGGCAGCAGGATAGAGAGCATTGTGATGGCCCTGTCCTTGCCTGTGTACTCCAAATTTGCAAAGGGCTTGTCAGCCTCGCGCATTACATATGGCTCGCCATTGATGTACAGCAGGGGCTCTTCACGCATGTTGTGCCAGAGCACTTTCCGGCGTCCTGGTCGATTTCACAAAATGTCAGACAAAGCAAGAGACCTCCATTTCTGCACCATTTCTGCCTAATTATTGCTGGCAATGCAGAGCTAGGGTCCTGGAGAATGACTAAACGATTGCCACATGCTGCAATTCAATATGCAAGATGCATGCTCTTGGAATTGCATGTGATGCTCATAAACTGCAATCCACGGAATTACCATTGTGAATTCCCTTCATTTTCACCAGCATACAGCGAACAAAGTCTGCACATGCGCAATACATTCAACCACAAGTCTACTGTGTTCAATTCCACATTTAACTCGACCTCTGAGTTGGCCCACTAGACTCAAAATCGCCAAATCCTGAAGCCTGATTGGATGCGCTGAATATTTTGAATTCAAACAATGGGAGATACATGCATAGCCTGTCCATATACGGTGGGGGTCCCTATGTAGCGCCCCCCAATGGCATGCCCAAAAGGGGGGCGCTATTGGGGGCCGGGGGCGCTATTGTGTTAAGGGGGTTACCCTAAGCGGCCGGTGTAAAGGGTACCCTGGCCGCCGGTGTAGGGAGTACCCTACGCTGCCGGTGTTGGGGTTACCATAGCCGCCGGTATAATGGGTACCACGGCCGCCAGTGCAGGGGGTGCCTTAGACCCCGGTGTAGGTGTTTACCCTGGCTGCCTGCTGGTATACGGGGTACCCTCGCGGCCGGTGTAGGGGGTACCCTAGCCCCGGTGTCGGGGGTACCCTGGCTGCAGGTATACAGGGTACCCTGGCGGCCGGGCCCACCCTGTACTATTTTGAAGTCCCATTGCCGCTATTGGGGGCCCGGGGCGCTATTGGGTGGCGCTATGTAGGGACCCCTACTGTACCAGCACCAGCCTCAAGGCACTGCGAACAGGCCATTCCTAAAGTACATGTGAGTGCCCAACACCCAAGCAGTTGTCAGCTGATCCTGCACCCAATGAGCATAGCCAGGTACTGACATAGGGACCAAAGAAATCTGTTGGATGCATGAATGCATTATACTGTCCAAAAGATGCCATGGCACTGTGTTGCACTCTGCTGGGAAACGCAAACCACTGATTTTACAGCATTGCAAGAGGTGCTTCCAGGTCTATTCAAGGCAGCCTCTTGTCTTGAGCTAACTGTTCAACAGATCATGTCCGGGGAGAGCACTTGAGAATGGGTGCATATGTGTGAGATTGTGTGTGTTGCAGTGAAACAGTGTCGTGGATCGAGGCACCATTTTCTGTGAAGCCTGTGGGCAGGGGAGCCAGAAGTTCTGCAGCTTGCTGATCAGCCGTGCAACATGTAACAAGTTGTCGCAATTGTACAGCAAGGATGCATGCCTGGCCTTTGAACAAATGGCCAGGTGAAAAGCAGAAAATGCCACTTTACAGGCACTTTTGATGTTTCCATTGACAAAATTCAAGCACATGCAGGGAGTGTGTTGTTAATGGTCCATAACTTGGGAAGTGGAATCTGCCAAATCCCTCCTGAAATATAAGGGGCGACAGCCATAACCAAGGCCACCTGACAAAACAGGCAGCATGTTGCATATTTTTGGGTGTCGGATGGAGTTGTGGTGACCAAGAGCACTTGCGTGCTTTGTTGAGGGAAGCAAACATTTCCTCAGAGGCAACAGCAATTTGTGTCAACCACTCAAGCTCTTCATTCGTTGGACAATTTTATCACCTTCGCTTGCTCCAAGGAGGTCTAGCACAACCCTCAAACCCACAGCCGTGGGTACCGCAAGTCCGTAGACCGGCAGCCCATCCACCTGCGCAACACGACTGCAGCCATCACGTCGCGAGCTCCTGCTCCGGCACCGTCCACCCAGGCCTCACGGCTGGCACCGCCATCCCCAAACCGCAAAAGCATCCGGGGTAGGCATGAGACACGCAGCTGAAGGAGTCGTGGGCCCGCGACACGCGTCGAGCAGCATGCCCACTCGCGAACACGCCGTGGATGCCCGCGGAGTTGGCAGGTTTTAGGCAACCTTTGGGCGCGACGATGCGAGGGGCTCAGATCGATCCAGGCGATGGACCGGACGACCGCGAGCCCCGGAAAAGAAACTCGCCTGCCGAAAATTGGGCGCGCCGTCGATCAGCGGAACGAGCTTGGTGTTCTGGCAGCCTGCAAGGGGTTGCCACAAACACAAATCAGGAACAGCATTTGTTGCAGATTGCCAGCGCCCGGCGAACGTTTCCTGCCCACCAGTGAGCTTGCATCTCCACAGCGCCCGAAACGACTCGCAGCGCGACGAGGCTGCGCATTCCCCAATCAGCGCGGCCCAATCCAGACACGCCAACGGTGCTCAAAGCGGCCCACGCGGCCGCCCGCGCATGCTCAAGGGATGCCCCCCCCCCTCGCCGGACAGGATTCCCACCTGGGAAATGATCCGCCTTCAGTATCGTGTTGCGGATCAAGACGTTCCCGCACCGGCCAGCGACGACCGCCTCCGGCAGGACCTGCGCCGGCGCATCGGCGCCCATCCCCAGCTCCAAAATCCGGCGATCCCGCCGGATGCAGCCCGCCAGCCGGCCCCCGATGCAGCCTTCCGGTGCCGCCTTTCGAGGCCCCTGTTCGCCCCCCCGCTGTGCTCCCCGGCGCCCAAGGCACGCCGGCGGGACGTCGCCGGAGTCCGCGAATATCGGAGGGCGCCTGCGAATATCTCTGTCCCGCGGCAGCGACAGGAACGGGGTCACGGAACTTCAGCGCCAGGGGCCTCCGAAAGTATCGGATGGCTCCCGCCTGTGGCAGGGGCCCCTCGTGCGGCAAGCGTCAGCCGCGGGGCGCCGGTGCCTCGCGCGCAGTGCGGCACCGGGGGGCGGAGGGTGGGCAAAGGTGGCAGGGGGCGGGCGTGGCGCCGACTGGGCATCGGCGGGCGGGCCGGGCCCCTGGCGGCATTCGTGCCCGCGCAGATTCCCCCTCTCCTGACTACGATTCGAGACCCCTTAGTAACGAAGCGACTGGCCCCAAGGCACGCTGGCGTCCACATGGCCGCTACACCAACGCTCGTTTGGTGGGAGGGTGGTCGTGGGACGGGCTGCTCCTCGCACAGCAACGGTGGTCACAGCCTTGGGCGATTACGCGGCTGCATGCAGAAATTGAAAGTCATTTGTTCCATTTTTGTTCCATTTTTTCCATTTTTGGAGCAGTTGGGCGAATAACCTGTGAGCGTGGGCCCGCTGGTGGTTTAACCGTAACGTGACGTTGGTTTTCTGGGTGTCGTGTTTTCGGGTACTGGGCCGCTAAGCTCTTCCAAAAAGCGCCCATAAGTAAACCGCTGATATGGCAAGGCATTGATTGCTTTGCACCATGGCGCCATCCGTCATTCCCCCAGAAAAGGGCGTTGTTGGACTTCATGGCGGTGCTCCTGCTCATAAAAAGAAGATTGAATGGAATATTATGGTAAATCTATGCCGGTAGCACTGCTTCCGTTGGAATCCAAGCAGATTAAGCCCTGGAGCAGGCAACAATCCCATGGTCTCACAACGAACTGAATGATTGTCTCCAACCATTTATTTTTGCGGCAGTTTATGGGTCAATCTGTTCAACCACGAGTTCAATCAATTGGACTGCCGCCTGAGTTGTTCATTGTTCCTAAAAAATGGCGCCCAAGATATCAAGAGGAGCAAGTAACAAGAAAAATGAAGTACTATTGCCAGAAGCAGCATTGGTTCGCTTGAAAGTTCCCCGATGAACTTTGGGTTCGGCGGCTGTACGTACGGTGCGTTGCGCTATTCGAAAGGCCATTTTGCGAGGGGGATGCCAGGCAAGAACGGTAAGGATCCGATGGCACTTTTGTGACGCCAGATGCAACAGCCATGTTGAGTGGGGCTACCAGACAATGCGGAGGCACATGCCGGGGGTTCTTTCCGTTTTCTCATGCAGCCCGCTGTGATGCTTTGAAGGGAAGGGCTTCTTTCAGAAGATTAGTTCCGTATTTTAGAGGTATTTGACCCCCAACTCTTCGCAAATATTTCTGCTGCTCTTTGATGCACTGGGAGAAGTGTAGGGCGTGTGGGTATGCAGTGACCTGACGATGGCTATTGGGATAAGGTGGCGATGATGAGAGGCTGGCCCATGCTCAACATGGCCGACTCTTACGACTTAGAGGTGTAATGACCCAGCCCTGATACTGAATATTTCGTTCATTTTGGCGGCCAGCATATGGGGTAGTCTGTAATGTGACAGTCGGTGTTGTGAGTTGGCCCTCGCAGTACGATGGGGCTATGGTCCTGTCAGGGAGTGGTGAGCACGGTTGGCGGCAACTCTGCAAATGCCGCCGTTGCTGCGTTGTGATGATGACATGTCTGGTTTTGGCGAGCTGTCTGTTCATACGAGGGCTCCCAGTGCGAGGTTGTTGCAGACCGAACGACGTTTGCGACGGCATGGAGGCGCCCCAGCCTTCCTGGCGCGCGCAGTTCGTCGCTCTCCAAAAATAATGGTGTTGAGATTCAGAGTGCGATCCGCGCTGATCAAACCAGCCGCCTTACGCCACCGCCCAGTGCTGTGTGCACTCGAGATTCTTCACGTTTTCATGAACAGGGAATCAGGAGCTTGCTCCCAGATTGCGAAGAATCCTAATTCATTTTCCCGTTAACACCCATTTCAGATGGTCACTTTCCCATCAGGCCCCCTGCTCCTTAATGTCCACGAGCGCCGTGATATTGCAGTGCGCGCATCTTGCCCATCTCCCATGTTCATGCGCATGCCTTACTTTACACGTTGTGCATCAGCCTGCAATTTTAGTGTACCACACGGTGGCTTGAATCCACGAAGTTCGACAGTTGCAAGATCGAATGCACAGCACCCCATAAATTGTTTCCCCACACCAGCCAGGGGCACAAAAATTTCGTTGTGTTTTTTCTTCCAACATAATGCCAGCGCCCCGAAGCCACAGCACATCTTGCGTTGCACCAGCATCGGCGACATCACAAATGCCTTGCGGTCCCATCCGGGGTCCCTGTCTACTCCCGCACCCTGCTCCTATTCCCTCGCATCAATCAAAGCGCCCCCCACCCGCCAGTGCCAATGTGCTCCAGGCCAGAAGCGGTCCTGCCATCTGCCGAGATCTGAAGATGGCGAAGAGCCTCAAGACACCACGGGGCGGTCATCATCTAAAAGATGCAAGGGCTTACTTCATCATGTCCCTCTGACAATCCACGGCCCAAGGATTCCTCCACGGGGCCCAAATGCACTCCACGCCCCGAGCTTGTCATGTCCAGAGTCAGCAGTGGCATTTTCGCACAGTGGCTACTACTGGAGTCCGTGCCGTGGCGCCTAGCTGTCATCCATGCTCTCCTCATCGTCGATCTTGGGCGCCAGGTAGAACCTGATGTGGCCCATGTCTCCCATGGCGTACTCCACCATGACGGGCAACTCCTTGGATAGGCTGATGGACATTTGGTGCGAAAGGGACGTGCTCTTGGCAAACGTCACGAAGTACCGAAGGGCGAAGGTGAGCGTCACAGGGTGTTCCAGGTTGACAGTGGTGTGGTCGGCCTCCTGGGGGAGCAAAAAGAAAGGCCATCAATTGAAACATTCTTGAACCCAAACCAGCGATCGGCTTAGCCGAGTTAAACAGACTGCAGCAATACTGCACAGTGCATTGTTATTAGCAGCCAGCAATCGTAAAGATGCCCCCAGGCAACGCTCCCCAGAAAAGATGGGTCGATGTCGGAAATCATCAAAGTGACTGTAGCTGCTCCAAAATGGTGCATATTGCCACCTCGAACAGCCACACGAATGCCATGAGGGCCACCAACCATCAAAAACGACGTCAACAGGTCAGGACGTCGTGTCGTTGGCGATTGTTTCGGGCCACAGCACATAACAAGCAGACGGTCTGGGGTTGCTTTACCTTCTCCATGGACGTATTTTGCTTGCAGGTAATGTGGGCAGTGCCGACGTCCCCAGATGTTGAGAAGGTGATGCCATCCTTCGTCACAGACACCGTCACTGTGCACAGGGAAGCAAAACAGAGTTGAGCGATGTGCCGCACGTGGAAATAACAGTGTCAGCTCTATCCAGCTCTCTGGTGCAATGCACGCAACAATTCCGCCTTGCCTCTGGTCCGTCGAATGCTCATTGCTTATGATGCTCAACGTGTATGAAAAAAAAACACAAGCAAAATGCAATGCGTGCATAATCAATTCATAGGTCATGCATTGTGGCATCGATCGAACCGGCAATAGAGAATTGCAAAGGACTTGTAGCATGGAGAAGAGTCTCAAAAATTGCATCTTAGGGTGCACCATTCGTGATCCATTCAAGTGAATGATTTGGCCTTTGTGCTTCAATCGTACATAGGTATCCTGTAAAGTACAAAGGCATCCTAAAAATTCCGAAGCCAACGAAACAGTTTCTGTTGATGGCGACGGTAAGTGCACAGCCATGGATGCCCGCACAGCCCATGCCTACCTGTGTCGCCGATGCTGCTGAGATCCTTCACGATCTGGGAAAACTGCGCGGAGGGCATCTTCACAATAGCGTCATAGGTGTTGTCAGGTATGCCAAGGTGTTCGCTGTCGATGTCCATCAGCTCCATTTGCACCTCGGCGTACTTGTCTTCCGCTGGCATCAATCAGTGCCACATGCAAACGTGAACAATGTGAAATATATAACAAGCGTAAAACGTTCACAAACATGAATAAAAATGCAAAGAAAAGAGAGCAAAATGGCCCAAATTAAGTGAAACTCAGCTGGAACATATCTGGCCAACGCTGTGAAACATCGCCCTGGTGCCTAGAATGAGATGATGTGACAGATGGTTGGGAAAGCTGGTGTCATCCCGGAAACAAGAGCTCGGCCTTAGATTCAGCACAGATTCAATCGACCTTCTGCAGGTCTGGTGTCAAGAGACGGTTCAAAGGACAAATTCCTGCAGCATGTGTGGGACTTGCACAATGTGTCCACAGCAAATCTTACTGATGGTGACAAAAGCACTATCATTGCACAGGCTTCGATTCGAGATTCAGTGGTTCTTGCAGCGCTTTGTTCATAGAAACCAATGTATCACTGTAATCTGAAGCTCTAAGGGCAGTCGCGTTTTGCCGTTCATGGTGCCCACCCTGGCTTTCGAAGACAAGAGTGATGTTGTTCTGCGTGTCGTCTGCCTTCAGCGTCATCGTGTCGTCATTTCCGGCACATTTCAGCACTTTGGAGAGGTTCACAAGATTCATCCCTGAAGCAAAATAACATCAGCTCACACAACAGAACTAAAACTTGTGGCATCTTGATCAAGGTCCACGAACTGATCATGCAGATGCAAATCTACCCCATCTTGCACTGGTCATGACAGCAAGAAAATGCAGTGTATGGGATCAACGAGTTGCTGTCTGGTGGCGCTCAGCCGACAACACCTTTCCAGTTCTCGTGCTCCGAATGTCAAGATTCGAGAAATGGGCAACGGGAAATCAGCACTGTGTTTGTCCCGGCAGAGATGTCACCACAGAACCGGTTCAACTGAGCCTGGGACACGTCAAGAAGCTCCGCCAGCCTTTGTGGTAAAAATCAGGGCCAGTGCTATCGCACTGCTCACCTATGCTCCTGGGCCTATCGCATCTGTAGTTTTCGAAAGCGTCGCCGCGGAGCATGAGCGCCACGAGCGCCACGTGGGAGGAGTCCATGGCCTGAAGGGAGACGCCGCCCGGACTGAGGTCGAAGTTTGCCTCCGTCACCAAGTCCTTCAGGCCCTCCATGATCTTCTTGATCAGGTTGCCCTGGATGAGCTTGGCCTCGAACATGGCTGCAAACCTGCGCGCACAGCGGCAGGCGGCCACGCCACCGACTCAGCCGGGTTGGCGGCGGGTCGAGGGACGCAGCTGACGGCCGCAGAAGCGCGACATCTCTGAATGCCCACAAAAGAGCGCCAAAAGCCAGAAAGCGCGCGAAAATTCCTTTTCAGTTCCCGTTCCCGTTCTCGTTCCGTTCCCGTTCCCATTCCAGTTCTAGAATGGCTCCGAAGGGGAATTTTACAACGCGCGAGGGTGGATTGAAAGCTAGGAGGTGGCGATTCCGAAGAGCGCAGCCCCCGCCATCCCCGCAATGCCGCCAGCTGTGATTCGTGGCAAAAAGCGGGCGACGCGCACCTGACCCGGGGTCCCTGTCACGGCGGCGCCGCGCGAGGCCAAGGGCGCTTCTGGACGTCAGTGGGGGGCTGGGACCGGCGAGCAGGGCGGACTGCCGGGCAAAGAGGTGCCCGCCGCGATTTAGAGGCCCCAGCAAGGGCGCCAGCGCCAGAATCTGTTGTGCTGACGTCACCCATCCTCCGCCCAACAATCGCTGGACGCAGGTACCGCATGCGAGCATGGAAATGAAACATAATACATCGAAATAATATTAGTAATAACAGACATAAGCATAAACAAAACCAACAAAATCAACAAGTATATACGAAAAAAATAATATTACATAATAAAAACATAAATATAAGTATAGGTATAAATATAAGCATGAATAGAAGTGGAAATAAAAATAGAAATGGAAATGGAAATAGAATATGAACATGGCAGAGGGAGCTGGGGGTCTGGGGTGCTGTGTCCGTTCTTTTCTGTCGAGAGCGCGGGTGCGAGACGCCCGGAGGAGGATTCCCCCGCCCCTACCCCGTTGACGGCGCCCGCTCCGATCGGCGAGGCTGGAGCCACAGGGCGGGGATCGGATCCCGGACGTCGCGGGGGCCGGGACCGGCCCGGCGACAGGCGTCGTGATGAGCAACGGCGCCGGCCCGGGGGCTGCGTCGAGGCTGGCGGAGCTGAGGGCGGCCGTGGGGAATCTGGCCAGCGGGGAGGAGCTGAGCAGGGCGCTGGAGGCCGAGGCCAAGTCCAACCCCGCGCTGGCGGACCGGATCGCCGGCCTGATGGTCGCGGTCGTCCGGGAGGCAGGCAGGTCTTGCGAACGCCTTTCTTTACTTCCTCTGGCGAACGGGGAGTGTGTGGCGCGATGGGCGATCCCCGCCTAGGCGAGCATTGCTGTGAGGGTGTTTTGCGCGCTGTGGGAGATGATTTGCGAGCATCATCTCCAGACCGCACTGGAAGCAACGGGACGCCTGTTGCGACGACATGCGCTCGGAGTGGCGCGAGTGAGCGGCGTGGGGCGATCGTTTGTGGCCGTGTCAGGGCGGCAGTGGGCGGGAAGTGGGTCGGCGGGAGTCCGCCGGTGTTTGCATTTGGCTCTCTGATGGTGATTGTTCGCGGGGTGGTGGGGCAGGGGCGAAGGGTACGGAAGATCAGAAGGGGGCGTCTGCCCACCAGGTGTCGCTGAAGGATGCACGGCTGGTTCTGAAGCAAGTCTCGTGTCAGTTCCCAAGGTGAGGCCGTCGGTCGACTCTCAAAAGGAGTAGGCGCCTCCTGCAGCCCGCCAGACAGCGTGGAAGCGCAAGGATTGGGGGGTGGCTTCACGCCAGAATCTTTGCAGCACGGTGCCGGTCGAAATGTCATCTTGCACAGCTCCTTGTTGGGATTGGCTTCACAGCCGCTGGCTTCTCGGACGGAGGGTTGCAGATTGGACAAGGGCCGATGCGTGGCATTTGATAGATTCCCCACGGCAAAGCCTGATCGGATGGTGGTTAGTGCTCAATCACAGTCGAACCAGCGCAACAAGAGGTATGTTGGGCTCTGTGAAGCAGAAAGAGCGCAGTAGGCCGTTGGAAGTTGGTCAAACGCTTTGGGCTGCCACCCAGCATGGGACCTGTGAGAACTGCCTCCCTCCTGCCGCCATTGTTCCTCCCACTTGCAGGATGACAAAAAAGATCAAGTTGACGCCTGACGCTGTCTCACTGCAGGGGTCGCCACGACATTGGCTTGCTGGAGTCGAGTCTGGGAATCTGTGGATCCAAGCATGACCTAGAGATACCCTACACCGCCATAGAGCATGTGGCGGTGAGGTCAATTGACTAAATGATGATAACTGTGTGTACTGTGGTGGTGGGCCTAGAATCAGCCTTCGGTTTGCAGCAAGAGTCACTCCACAAATCAGCAAAATCTTTAAATTCTACAAATTCAGCAGAGTAACAAATGCCTCTAAAGCAGATGGTGCACTCTGTGTTCACCTTCATCAAACATCATGCGCACATGCCAACAATGCTTGGTGCTCTTCATGTGTAGCAATCTTTAGAGTACCCTGGTAAGCACAGGTTTTTGGTGCACAAGTGCTTACAGTTGCCTGCCAATTGCAGGGGCGGTGTATTGTCTTGCCCTTGCAAGATCGACACAACCATTTTCGACTGGTGAGAATGGCTGATGGTGCTGTTGCTGCCATGTAGGTCCTGGAGAATTTGCCAAACGACAAGAAAAAGATACTTGTTATGTTGGCGCTTTCACGGTGCGAACTGTCTGCCTGCATCTGGCGGCCCCCAATGGGACAGACAGATGCATGCCAGATGTTGCAGACACAGTTGGAACACCATATACTATGCTGTGCACCCACTTCATGTGTGCTAAATACATGAACTGTTGGTGGATTTCCTTGCTTTTGCACAAGCAGCAACTTGCCTGCTACGTGCTGCACTTTGGTGCCCCAAGCATACGCGCATAGGCACGCCTCCAAATGAAATGCCATGGTTCAGGATAGGACACCTGGTACCATCACCAGCACTTTCCCTTCATAGTACTGTTTTAACAGCCCACCCTCCTGTTCCGCCATGCACCATCCAACAGGACAGTTTCGTTGTGTCCACTGAACATGAGCTGGACTGAGTTCATGTTGCCCACATTCCACATGTAGTGACACCCAAGTCAAGTCATGCATCCCTGTGCTCCACCGAGATGTATGTTGCAAGGAAGGTCTGTCCCAACAACCTTGTCAGCCGTAGACTTTCAAGATCTAGGGAAGGTGCATTCGCTTCCTGATAACACCCAAGAAGTGTAGGAGCCTGGTTGCCATTGGTGCCAATCCAATGCTTGGATATTGACACTCAATGTGGTTGGACCATGCATCATTCTGCTGAAGTGGGACGTTGTGTGTGATGTTCTATTCGTTTTCCTTCCTTCTGCAGGAGAGTGGAGATAATGCTTGGCAAGCAGAAGGTGACTTCAGTGCTCATGCAGGTGCGAAGGTGTAAATCATTCGATTGCAGTTGTACAAGAGTACAGGAATTGCGCTTGCAAGGCACATGTCGACCCACAAATTGTCCTGTCCAAAATGCCCAAAGCAAAAAAATTTACAGCAAAATTCTTACAAAACTGCCAAATTCATTGCAACTGGCTGTGGAAATGCACAAGGAAGCACTCAAAAATGGGCGAATGGTAAGCCATTTGAAGCATCCAAAAGCTGTGCAGGCCTTGCCGCCTGTGGTACTGAACTTCTACTTGGAGATACAAAGTAGGCTATGTTTTGAGCTTAAGAGAAGTGCAGCTTTCACATGCTGCATACTTATTCAGTTGCCTCTCTGTGTATTTGTTTTTACTCAAAACCGCACACACAGTTGCTTGGGATGCTATGTCCCTGAAATATGAAATGTCTGTTGTTTGTTTCAACCAGGGCTGCGAATGTGCTGCCCTTGTCACATACCCAGCATATGCGCCGATGCGCGCAACTTGTGTCTTTGCAGTGCACTTCCAGTGCTTGGAGATCTTTGGTGGACAACTGGGACAAACGATTTGAGATAAAACATTTCTGCATGTGAACAGCAATCTGCAAACAACGAACAGCCTGAATGGCTGCCATATGTCACGTCTGGAAAATTGCAATTTGATTGGATGTACTGACTCATTCGTGTTGTCGATTTCGGCAGCGTTTTGTCCAACATCGATCAATGCAAATTGGAAAACAGCAGCCAATGACATCTGCCATCATCTGTTTGCTCTTTTCATATTGATCCTTTAAGATAAGAACTGTAGGCTTGCAACAGCTATTGCTGTAGAATGGTATCAGTTGTTTTGTAGTTCAGTTTCTGGGGTGTGGTGCACCCTGACTACCAAAGATCTTGCAGCAATTTGCGAACGAATACAATGTCAGCAAAAATTGTGCATCAGTAATTGGATGCTTCTGCTGCCATTGCTGTGCAGTTCAATGCCGACGAAACCCTGGACATCGCCGATCCAGAAGACCCAAGTTCCCGCCTGCAGGATCGCACTGTGGTGGTCCTGTGCCAGGTTTTGGGATTCATGGGGATAGACCCCACTGCCTTCTGCAGCCCGGATCCAGAGGTCTTCCAGTCCAGCCGCAAGCAACCAGCTGTGTCAGCATTTTTCAAAGTGAACCAGGGCCTGCTGTTCCTCCTGCCTTCAGCCCTGTGCTTTGTGGAGAAGCCGCCCATCTTCATCTCCCACTCTGAAATCAAATCGGTCGAGCTTGGGAGGGCCAGCAGCATGTCAGCCACCTTCGACCTGATTATCCATCTGAAGGATGGGGACATAGTCGAGCTCGGGCAGATTGGTACAGAGGAGCTGCAGAAGGTGCTGGCGTACATCACCGAGAGGAAGATTAAGGTGTGCCAGTCTCATCATCAGCTGATGTATGGTTGACTGAATTCCTTCTTTCAGGATCCATTTTCCCGCCGAATTGCGAATGCATGTCTGTGCTATTCCTCCCTTGCCATTAAATGATCGGATTGCAGATTCTTGGATTCTTGGAATGTACCTGTGGCACATGATGAGCAAAGAGCTCCTTCACCGGTTTGCCAACCATGGGAAAACAATGCCAACCACCATAACCTTTGTTGTGTTGCAATTGTGGGCGTTCTATACTCCAAAAGCATCAAAATGCTAAAAAGAGAAGTCTGTGTTTCCATGAAGTTGGTGAAGGAGTGTATCCTGGTACACCATGCTGGACCACAGCAGTCAGGTTATGCACCACTGCAACAGGAGAAATCATCCCAAATTGTGTTGTTCCACAGAATGTTTTCACCCCCACCTGTACAGCAACACACAGCTAGTGGGATGCATTCTGCTGATCCACAGAGAGGAAACTGTTTATGCACTCATGCAGCCACCATTGCCATTAGCCTTTGCTGAAGTCCATGGAACAGTATTGTCGGTAAAGATGGCATTTTCCTTTTTATATACCAAGAGCATCTTTATCGGTCGGTGCTATGGCACCGGTGGAGCTATCCAGGAACGGTTCTCATTGGCTGCTGTGCCACCTTACTAAGGCGGCATTTGCCGAATAGCACCGGTGCTATTGCTCTGCTGTGCGCATCCGCAATGGTGGGTGCTATGCCTACGCCGAATAGCATCACTGTAGCACTACAATGTTCTGCGCGAATAGCACCGGTGCTGTTCTGGGGTGCTATTCGGCCCCGAGCGGTGCTATTTGGGGCCAAAATAGCGCCGCTCGGCGCCGGATAGCTCCGGGGGTGCTATTAGGGTGCTATTGCTCCCCAACCGTTAATGATGGTTTTTTGACATGCGGTGCTATTCGGATAGCCGAATAGCTCCGCCGGGACAATAGCACCCACCGATAAAGATGCCCTAACATGCACATCACATTCAAGCTGTTGCGATGTGAGAGGGGCTCAAAAAGCTTGAAGTGCACTGCAGAGCAAAGTGTTAACAAGGTTTCAACCCTACAAGTCCATCTTTTCCTGAAGAAATGGTGAGCCAGGGCTCCCAACCTTCATCGAATCACAATTGCCTGGGCTAGCTTACTCATATATCTGAATCCGATTGAGGAACTTGCATGCAGGTTGGAGATGGTGCCGATGTGGAAGAAGAAGACAGTGAAGGAGCGGAATACGATTCAGACGATGAGGATGATGAGGACTTCGATCCAGAAGCATCATCGGACTCTTGTGGAGAGGCTTCAGCACGGAAGAGGAAACGCTCTGCAGATGAGGGTCCTAGTGCTGCAGGTATGACGAGTTAACATGTTTATTGTGTGCAACCGCAGGTCAAGGCGCATGTCTCCTGTGAACCCAAACCAGGAAGATGATGTCAGCCATCAGCATCTGGCAGTCGATGCAGACCTCGCATTGCTTGAGCGAAAGGAAGACCCCTAACACAGCGACATAAAATCACGCAAAGGACACGAGTTCCAAGGAGTGCTGGAGGGTAGCCACGCTACCTGAGTGATACTGTACTGAAAAATTGTGCAAACGTATCAAATTTATACCCTGCCAGGAAGGGCAATGAGAAACAGACACCAAATTTTGCACTCACAGCTGCTTGCACAACTGAACTAGTGCAGAAACTCGTGCTGGTACAATATTCGACAGGATTAGAGCAGTGGCTGATGTGGTAGAAAACTGATTAATGCATGCCGCAAGACACCCAATTCTGTTGGGCTGTGTGTGTCCGACCCTATTTTACTCTGTGCTTCATTGTTTTGGCAAGATATAACTGCTTCCATTAATATGTTTTTCTAAATTCATATGCACTTCATCTGTCGGGATTATCATAAACGCACTTGAAAAAAGCCTTTGTTCAACATCAGCAGCTGAGTACCAAGCAGCATCAGATTTGCAAGATGAGTTCCTGAAATTGCAACAATCGCCTTTCTCTTTATCACCTGAATGTAGTCATTCAATCCAAATCAAAAGCTGATGTGCGATGCATGGAACCTTGCTGTTGTGTGATTTGAATCTGTCAGCGCTATTGGCGATCGAACCATACACGGCTCAATACCAGATGCCACCACCACATACACAGCTAAATGTGACTATGACCACCACATTCAGTCTGATTGGCTTTGGAATCTCTAGCCTATGGCACCACTAAAGAGATACCAGCGTCTGCATGCCTGGTAAAACCCTGATAGTTTTTGAAATGCTTGGCCCAAGTTACTTGGGTTCAAAGTGCCCCCAACTGCTGTTAGCTTGGCATTCTCTCTAAAAATTTGGAGCATTCAATAAACTCAATGACACTTTTCTCCTGTGATTTTAGAGGAACGTCAAGTGGTTGCTATATCCAGCTTGTCATACAAAAGCATCCATTTAAATTCTGGACTGAATGAAGTCCATCTATTGTTATTGGCAGGTAACAGTTTCAGGGTGCAGGCTGGACCTCACCTGATCCTAGTTCACCAATCCTCTGTGCGTTGCATGTGCATGACTGACCATGATGAGGTTTGGCAGACGTTGAACTCTTTTGTCAGGTTCTGGTGGCATCGGTGTTTAAAGGGGATGGATGCCATTATCAGTGTGGCAGACCTTATGTTTGCGGTTGTGCATGTCCCAGCCAAAGTCGGTGGTTGTGCTGCAGCGTTCCTCTGACCATCAATCCACAGTACCTTTTGGGAAAATCTATCCCATTTCTGCGAATCGAAGTGTGCTTGCACATTTTGACAGTGCAGCTTGGCCTCGTAGCATTGCAGGTTGTTATGTCACACCACTTGCATGACTAACCAAAGATACAAGTAAAAATTGGCCAAATACATGGTTTCGAACAGTGTAAAAATCGTGTAAAGCTGCGTCTAAACGTGAAAAAATCATGTGCACTCATTCAATCGTTACTGCATGGTTCGGTCTCATTTTTATGAGAAGAATACATGATAAATGCACGACTTAACACTAGTTTCACACCTCTTTCAATCGTGTTACACGGTGCACGATTTTCAAAACCTTGTATTTTGGCCTGTGTTTTACTAATGACAGCAGCGCACGAACTGACCCTGGCATTCTTCATACTCTGCCCCAGGCGGTTCTTCTGCTGGCGGCTGGAAGGACGGGGGCTTCTGCTCCTCGGATGAAGACTCAGAGGAGGTGGAGCTGGTCAGCGACGATGACATATCCGCCAAAAGGATACGTGCCCTGCTGGAGGAAGATCGAACCGCGGCACTAAACCCACATGGTCCAAGTGGCGCTGGACCTGGGGGCCCTTCTGGACCCGGGGGCGTATCAGGCTCTGGCTCAGGTGCAGGAGGAGCTGCAGGGCCCTCTGGCGCATCTGGTTCAGGGTGCGCGGGCCCATCAGGGTCATGAAATTTGACACCCAGTTTTTGGAGTTGAGTGTGCAGCTGTGGGGGTTGGCCGTCTGAGCAGCTCTTGGGGATCTGGCAGCGGTGGGATGGCATGACTTGGGGTTGGAACATTGTGGAGTTGGATTTGGAAACTAGATTAGAGGTTGCGAGGGATGCACATTATCACTTTGATGGTCTGGGAACAGTGATTTGTCAGTGCGGACAAATCGAATCAGGGCAAAATCACGCGACGGGAAAAACAGGGAGTGCAGTGGGATATATTGCTCTTGAATAGATGTGGCTCAGCATTGGCAGCCATCTATGTTTCATGCCTAATATTCACCACTGTAGTGGGTTAGTTGGGCAGCTGAAGCTTCAGCTGGCACACGGTCAGAACAGGCCACAGCCTTCCTCCAAACTGGATGGGTGAAGACCACAGCCACGGACCAATGGATTCAATTGAGGGTCTTTAAGATGTCTGAAGCCACATGTCACGTCTGGTTCGGATCAACAGATGCTATTCTGGCCATGATGTGTTACATTTGCTGCCACTAGCACTTATAGCCATTTTGCAGCAAGGAGTTCAATCTTGTCTGCGAGTGTGACAGCAGCAGGCCAGATTAAGTTGTTCTTGATGTCCTGCCAGAAGCCATGTGAATTCACATGGATCATGCTGTATGTATTCGTGCATACGATCTTGCGTGTATTGGGGGATGCAGCCGGCATCATGTAGGTTGTTGGCTGCCCCATTGGTGTTTAAAGCAATGGCTTTGCACTAAGCTTCGAACTGAAAGGGTGTCATATCCATTGTTCTGCAAAAATGTGGTGGTTACCCTATTGAGCTTGGGAAGAAGCTGGCTGGTTGATGGACAATCTGTATGCTATATGGGCTGGATGGGTGCATGCCTGGTCTGAGAGTTTACCACTTGATGAGAACTTGGCCAGCGAAGGTTTGGGTGGACCCAGGGACCCACCAGAGGTCCTGCTTGTGACATCTACATTCTGTTAAGCGATCAGAAACAAACCCAGTGGTGCCAAAAGATGAGCAGTCGCAGCAGATCTCAGGCATTCTGGCGTTTTGAATATGTGGTATGCATGCATTCGGTGCTCTGCAACATTTTCTCTTTTGGAAACGATGCCACTTGCGCAGTTGCCGCAGCTGTGTACCAGGAAAGAAGTCACAGAAGCGGAAGGTCCAACAATGCGTTTGTGCCGATGGTGGATCGCTGGTCATCCTAATGCAGTAAATTCCGCCACATGGCGCAAAAGCGAGTCCTGAAGTATGCAAGAATGAATAGGCGAAGTGGTAAATAGTCGGCTGGCGTGCAACAAATGTGGTTGAATTTTCAAATGGAATGGCTGCGCCCTTTGCTGCCAGGCCGGTCTTACGGAGCGGTTTCCTTCTTTCGCCAATGGGCAGGCTGAAAAAGTTTTCGTTGAGTGCATTGTGTATAGCTAGACACGCATAGCCACGGCTTCTTGATACAATCCACGCAATTGAGAAAGCTTTCGCGTCCAGGTCTACTTACACAGTTCTTTGATATTTTGCATGCTTTGCGAACTTGGTAAAGCACAAACTTCACGTCGTCGTTGATTGCTCCACGAACGCCGGACTTAACGTACAGAATTGTGCCCAGCGAGCATCTTCACACGCAGGAAGAACGCCCATCGATCGAATTTTTCAAAACTGCCGGGAATTATATTAACTTGTAAGTATAGCTCGACTCTTTTCGCGGATTGTCCATTTCAGAATGCAGCCCATCGTAACTACCCCTTCCACTGTACTCCGCTGCCCTCCTGCCGTCCACCGTGAAGTGCATGGGCATTGCTCAAACTGTTGCTGTGTGCGCTTATTGACAAGTCGTTCGCACGCTATGGATTCGCATACTTCCGTTCCAGAAACAAGCGTTGTTGGCGTGGCGAATACGCTCACACAAAATAGGCAACGCCCAGGTGCGACACGGGCCTGAATGGGATCGCCAAACGCACACCCAGCACCCCACTCAGTATTTCCATTGTGCGCGCAAAAAAAAAAATCATCTAGGACCCAGGTTCCAGGATTTATCGCAAAAGGATTTATCCGCAGTCACAACTACCCGCTCGGATTCGCGAGATGAATCTGTGCAGCGACACAGATATTCGCCATATATTCCTCACTGCCTCTCCGCGCATAAGCGATCGACGCCGAGGTGTACAGGTGCCATGCAGACGGTCTGGAGTCCCAGCTGTCTTAAGCTTCATGCGGTTGACCTCAAACTTTCGCATAGAACCCCCATAACAACAAAAGGCAGTCGGAGCCGACATGGCGTATGTCCAAATTCGCTCAGAGGCGCTCTCATACAGCTCTATTAATGCCAGCTTGCACTTCAAAACAGCCAGTCAACGTAGGCGCCGGTGTTTCTGCCCGTTTGACGTACAGCAGTACAGCATTGGCCGCGTTACGAATGACGTGGCCGGCTTTGCGAAGCACATGAGCTGTGTATCAACCAGGCAAGGAAACACGTGCAGACTGACCCACGTGCGCTTGTGAGCGCCCTTGGATTTACAGGCGCAGATAGCAGTGAGCGAACTGTTCATTTCCCTGAGAATCAAATACCTCTTTTGATCTGCTGTACCGACTCCTGCGACCCCTGGGATTCCATCAGCCGATGTCCGCCCACCGACGAACGTACTATGGCGGGCAGAACATTCCACACCTGCGCCACGCGGGACCGTGGGCCCGCTCGTCTGTCGCGCCAAAAGCACGCCACAGCACCGCGCCACTTCGCTCAGAACAACTCCCGGGATGATCATCCGTTAAATCTCTCAACAAGAGGACACTCCCAGATATTGTCGGACGAGTGATCCACACGCGCGGCGCCTCGCCGACTAAATCAGCGCCACCTTTCCCCAGTACAGCAGTCCGGAAGCCGCGGAAGCCCTGCGGCTCATGCTCTCACCCGCGGCTCTGCAGCACCCGCCAACCAACGCCCCACCAGGCGCGCATCGGCCACCAAGTCAGTTTAATTGATTTTTGTTTCGCTATTTTTCGCTTTTTGTCACTAGGACGAAAGCAGGCTTTTCCCACGCGAGAGGTTCCCCGTCGTCGTGGCTCCTCCTTTCGCTCCCCCCGCCTCCACCCTGGCCCTGGGCATCTCCTTGCCGACGTCCCCCAGGGGGCCGAAGTTCTTGCCCGTGGCGTCCAGGGGCCCCCACTGCGCCAGGGGCTTGGGCATCAGGGACGCCACGGCCTCCCGCTTTGCGTGCACCGCCCACTGCATGCCGTCGGCCACCAGCTCGTCGTCATCCGCGTCGTCGAGGCTCACGCCGCAGGTCTTCCACTGAAAGATGGCGCGGTCGTGGCCGCCCACGCTCACCACGGTGCGGTCGTCGGCGAGGAACCTGAGTGTGGGGCGGGCGACCTCTTATCAATCCAAGGATAGATATATTTTTTCGAAATCCTTTTGTTGTATCATAAATGAACAAATGCATTACTCATGAATTAATGTACTATTGATACGTTATTGTTAATTAATAATGCTGTTGATCAACAGCACGGTATGAGCTCGGCTATGCGCTGCGGCGGAGAAGACCCAAACAGCCCAATGAACAATCATTGCCAGGGCAGGCTGGGCGTTCCTGTGGTGATCCCCGAGCGCCCACCAGCGCCGACCGTCGCAGGGAAGTTTGCATCGAAGTTGAACTTTGATATTCAATATCATAATTGAGTGCCACCTAATTTGCTTGTTTTGCTATTCATGGCCATCGTTACTTCAGTGTTAGGTATTGAAGATCTGACAGTGTCAATCATGTATTATATAATCAGGTGTGTGTAAATTTCAATTCACACATTCGTTCCTGGAGCTTTAGCAACGGCAAGCGTGCGGCAGGAGCGGTTGCATCACGCTGCTGAATCGGCAACAATGATTTTAGTCTTAATCATGGTCTTTGGGCCGTTTTACGAAATGGAGCGCCACTACCACGTACTTCGAAGCAATTATCAGTTCTTCGAACATTGCATCCGTAGATTATTACCCCCCCTGTGCAGGCCAAACGCGGGGTGCAAAACTCTGCGCTCCGGTACCGCCAGCACGCGGACAGTGCCCGACATCGTTTGCCATCTCTTGCGTTGGTGTGCCTGCTTTGCCGGTTTGGTAAGCGAGCGAGGATGGCTATGTGTTGGGTAGCGTCACAGACACACTGACAGAGTCCAACGAGCTCAACGAGTCTCCTCGAGGCGCCAACGCGGTTACCTCGCTACCACCTGGACATGGACCAAAATGCACTCCCTGGGGCTACCTGAGGCTGGATCAGCACATTGCGTCGAGCCGCATACTTCAAAGGGGGTTCCAACAGAAGGTGCCACTGTTGCCAATCGCACTCGCATACATTTGGCTCAATGCTCCAAATGCCTCTACCCACAACAAGACGGGGCGCCGCTTGGCGTTCTACGGAAAGCGCACGCACAGTTGGCGTGCCGCCAGGCCCTGATGGAGCATTGAATGCTTTGCCAGTAGGCGCGTGCTTGAACCGCCCAGTAGGACGTGTCAACCACGCGCGTGCGTGATCAAAGGGCGCCCGCGCCCACCTCGTGCACATGACGTGGGAGGAGTGCCCCCGGTAGCAGCGGTAGGGGGCGTCGTCCGCGACCACGGGGTAGTTGAACAGCTTCACGAAAGAGAAGTCGTCCGCCGTGACCATGAACCCCGCACCCGGGACACCGTCCGCGCTCTCCTCTGCCGGCGCCGCCCTCACCAGGCCGGCCTTGCGGTCGAACCGTGGCCTGCCGCGGTGCGACCGGCACACCGCGTTGACGTCCGTGCCGTCCGAGTCGTCGGGCCAGATCCCCATCACCGGAAAGCCAAGGGTGCAGGTCCAAGTGTACCTGTGGCAGGCGATGGACATGAGCCATTCACGTGCAACCAGGCTTGGCTTTTAGGCCGCAAAAACTGATCGTATTTACGTTTTGGGGCGTAATAATAGCTTTTACGTTCTTACGAGTACAAATGCGTAAAGATACGTAAATGCAACGTGAATACAGCCCCGTGTACATAAGGACAGTACATACAGACTTACGGAGTCCGGGAGTGGCAGCCAGGCTCCCTGGAAGGGGCAGAAAACGAGCTTTTACTACACACCTTCGTCGCCCTTGCCAAGGGCTGGGTGGGCACTGTGTTGCGTGTGCTGGAGATGGCGGAAGGCTGATCATTGTACGCGACTTTCATCGTGTAACCTTGGTGTCCCAGGGACTCGTAAAAACGCAAAAAGAAGCTGTTGAATGGGGCCTTTCGCATATTTATATTTTCAGGCATAAAAGCGTAAACGCGAACGTAAAAACCAAGCCTGCTTTCAACGGCCTTGGCGCTGGAACAGCCGTGAGCATCGGCAACGGCTTCCTCTGGTGTCGCCAGATGAATTGTGCCGCTCACGAGAAGGTGCAATTTTCTGGCAATCTGAATATGTGTGCATGTCATTCTAAATCATCCAATACAATTCCTTTAATGTTATAGCAGTATTCACTCTGGAACATCATCAACTTCAGGGTACTGCATTAGCAACGGAGTCACTTGCCGAAGCTTCGATGCTGCACTTGTCTCTGGTAGAAGCGGCATAGGCCGCCACCAAGGAACTGAACCCGTACGACCATCCGATCTTATGATCATTTGACCTCGTGAGTCCAGAAGACACTCGCCACCACCAGCGCGTCGTTTTCGCGCTGCGCGCAGCGGCCGCCGAATAGAACCAGCATTGCAATCAGCACAATCAACACAAAAGCAATGCAACAGATTACGTACACAGAATACAACAATATCTGGTGGTCCATTTCCCACACACTGGTATGAAGCGACACGTTTGCGATGCCAAGTGCGACACCCTTTTGACGCAAAGTGGCGCTTTTGCAGTGATTGCGATGGCATTGAAGCCGCCGTGGTGTCATCAATAATGGCTGTCTTCTACGGCGACAGCCATCCTCACCAGGACGCATCCCGCTGGTTAGACGTGACCTGCCTCCCGCTCCTGGGGTCCCAGCACAGCGACTCCCTGCTGGTGTCGTTGGCCTGAAGGATGCACCTGCCCCTCAAGCCCGGCGGGCCCTCCACGGGCAGGCTCCAGTCAATGTGCTCGATGGTGCCCGAGTGCCCGACGCAGCGGCACACCAGCTCGTACCCGCGGTCCACGCCGTACAGGTAGACCCTAAGGTCGTTCGATCCAGCCGCGAGCACGCGGGGGCCCCCGGGCGGGCTGTACTTTAGCTCGCTGATGCCCTCGGCGGCGTCGCGCAGGCGCACCAGGGGCTGCAGGGTGGAGGCGTCCAGCACGGCCAGCCGTCCGCTCTTGCCTCCCAGGGCGAGGTGGTAGCCGTCTCCCCCGCGGGGCTGCCATCCTGGAAGGAAGGGGATCGCGAAGGTCGCCCTCGTTGGTTCAGTGAGACCAAATTGGCATTGGCAATGTGCCGTGCGTTGCACAAGTTGATGGCCGCATTTACCAGTTTCGAAAGCCTCTGAATGGCTTAAAGCCACTGCGCTGCCTCAGCCATGTGAAGCGATTATCGAGTTTGCGCATGGGCGAGCGCCTACTGATGACGCCAGTCAAGGTTTTGCGTTGTACCCTCACGGGTGACGCACGCCGTTCTCAAAAAAGGCGTGAAACGCGTATATCCTTAGTCAGCATAGATGGATTTTAATCCATAGGTTGATTTTCATACATTAGACACAAGTCCGTTTGGTGCCATTTCCAATGCCATTCCCGGCAAAAAGACGGTTTGGCACCACAAAAACATATTCATAGTATATGTACAAAGCATTTCAGTGAAAATCGGAGTTTCCAGACCGTTTACTAGCCTATCAAACACTCAGTAGAACCGATTCATATTTCACAGATAAATGCATTCCTATAAAGCATTGTGGAAACTGATAGCTGGGGCAGAGTTCGGCGCTGGTCCCAATCGTCTCAATCTCTCGGCGCCTCCGGACCTGGCACACATCTGCTGGGAAACTCCTCCTCCGAAAATGCGATGCTCCTGCACACGAAGCCCATGGACGCCGACCGCAGCATCTCCCTCCTGCCCGCGTCCCACAGCATTACCCTGTGCGCCTCGCTGGCGGTGGCGAACACCGAGGCGTCGGCGGGGTGCGCGGCGCAGCAGTACACGTCCCCCTGGTGGCCCTCGATCATGACGCGCGGGTCCCTGTCCACCTCCCATATGTCGCAGCCGTCCGTACCGGCCACGAACTCCACGGGCTTCAGTGGGTGGGAGTCCAGCCCGCGGATCATGGGCACGGACTCCTTCTCCAGGGGGGCCGTCGCTTGGATGAGCCTGAACCTGTACGGGCACGCGGCGCGGAAGGTGGGCGGAAGTTGGGGGCAAATAGGGGCGCATGTGGGACGGTCTTCGCCGTCTCTTTCCATGCTTGAGCAGTGCTCCGTTGGTGAAAATCGCTGGTGCTGTAGGAATTAGAACTGTTGATTGAAAACAAATGAATGAACACAAAATAGTGAATAAACAGATGCAAATTATTAATTAGTTAAGTAATTGTTATATATGTATGTGAAAACAATGATTTAGCAGACCAAATACCCAGGTTCTGCATTCCTGGCCGTTCCTTCAGTGCCGCCTTGACTCGACGGAAAGACATCCAAAGGTTCTACGGATATCTTGCGAGGAGTGTCGCAATTCCCTGGTATGATGAGGCCTTTTCCAGATTCAGACACCAAGCCGATCTAACAGCAGTGAACGCCATTCTTAAAAACGCACGCAGAAGGCATTGCGGACTCATTTCCGTGCTGCCGTAAATCTGACAGCTTGCGCCTTCCCTACAGGCGCCATGACGCATGGGGGGATGGTGCACTCATGCAGCGATTTCTGACCACACGGGTGGAGAGCGGATAAAATGCACGAGTGCGGGACGCAAAAACGCTCTTGGATTAATGCGTGCCCGTCATCGCCTACAAGATTTAAGGGTACAGGTTTGTCTTGTCGAAGGAAGTTCCGAAAGATTGCAGCCAAAATGCGTAGGGGAATTTGTGCCGACTACGAAAACCTTTTCAGACGAACGCTTCAGTTTCTCTCAGCCTTTCAATAAGGGGGTGGTAAGTTGCCACACAATACGCCTTCCATCCCTCACCTGTGTGGCCCCGTCATTTCGTCGTTACTGAACATTGGCTTGAGCTTGACGCCCCTTTTAGGAGCCCCATCGGAAGTTTTTTCGTCCACCTTCTCCAGACTCCAGGAGCAAATGCAGCCATCCGCCCCGCCTGTCAGCACGGTTCGGTTGTCTGCTCTCAGCTTGATGACGCGAACGCCCCCATGAACCTGGCAGAACATGGTCGATAATTTTTAGTGACCCAAGATGCCCTTGCCTTTGACGTAAAAAGATGGAGGCACAAGGAGCCCTCCTTCTTCAGCGATGATTGGCTGCGATTTACAGCGTATTGATTTTGTATTTCCTTCAAATTCGCAAACTAGCATTGTGTTTGGTGACCTTGTCGGCTAACTGACGATCCAGTAAAAATAAGTTTTTTTAAACAACCTCAGTGGAAATGAACTAGCTTCAACATTCAGGCCTCGAACAAGTTTCTCAGGAATCTGTTTTGGTGAGTACGTCAGCCATTCGCATGAGTTTATGCGAACGGTGGGAATTGAGCGTGCGCGATAGAGTTGCCAGCAACAACGGAGATATTTCATAATGACATTGCACCAAGCATGCGAAAGACCCACGATCACATGTTTGCTTCTCGCCTCCGTTAACAGTAATGATTTTTTTTGAGAATGATTATCTCAGCAGATTCCTGTCACCCTTGCTTGCGCTCCATTAAGCAGTAGACGATGCTACTACACCCTTTGAACAAATTCAGCGCATGGCTGACCAAATCGCCCAAAAAATATGATTTGCAATTGCAATTTAATACATTCCAACAAAATCCAATTTGCACAGGATGGTTGAAGATATTCTTCAACAACCACTCCTTTTTTCCCGCTGAAGTGCATTTTTTGTACTTGAGGCAATTTCGCAGCCTCTCGAAACAGAACATAAGTCTCATAGACATTTTCCAGTAGGTGATGCTCACTTCACATGGAAAACGCGTTCGCCAATAACTGACTTACATCTCTCATACCTGCGTCCCATCGTTCAGCACAATGAGGGGGCCGGGATCGTGCGCCGTGAACACCTTTCTTAGTTGATAGGTGCTGCGAGGTCGGGTGGGGTAGGGAGGCACCCAAAGCCCCACCTTCCCGTCCGCAAATCCCGTAAGGATGGCGGAATCACCGGGCGCCGCTCGTTCGTGGATGGCAGGGATATAAATCGCCGAGAGGACGTTCTGGACCTTCAGCACGGTGAGAATGGACGACTGAGATCGGATACGAGAACGCTGCAGAAACATTTCTGGATTTTGTTGGCCAGTGTGCCTTTCCTGTTCAACATGCCTTACCCTGAAATGCTTTGGCACTGTTTGCGCTGCAGCACTGCTGCCATATGTGTGCAATGACAGCCGGTGGTAAAAGCTTTCCCTTGCACGTTTCCTTCTGATTCTCAATCTCATATTTCGGCTGCTGTTCTTCAGGCAAGCACTGCTCCTGGGGCTCCTTTCTCAGCAGTTTCTTAAGCCTAATGGTCGCGCGACGTGGTGTGAAATCAAGGTTTACACTAAATAATAACCCCGCATTAGAGGATGCGTTAATCAGTGCATTTAAATATTCTGAATCACATATCACATTTATGCAGTTCTTCAGACCACTCGTGTCTATTCGTAGAATCCAGGTAACCCGACAGTACTCGTTCTCAGTAAACGTGATTGGTGGCCTAGAACAATTTCGCATGAGCATCTGTGGCTGCGACGCATATATCTCAACAGATGCCAAGATCACCTACATGACCGACAGATACACATCCAGTCAATGCACATTCCTGCGTGAGGTCAAATAATGATACCTTTGTGGGACCAAAAGTCGCTGGCGTCCCCATCCAACGGCCTTCGTCGCTGACAATCCACGTCTTGAGGTGCTTGACCCCATAGCTCAGGAACTCGCTGCCTCTCCCGCCGTCCTGGGGCCTAAATGGATTCCAGCTTACCCCGTACACTACAGGCGGGGTACCTTGACCACACCATGTGGAGGTCAGCCCCCTGCAGGAGACGCCATGTGTTTCGTGAACTGCAACTTCACAATCGAGATCTGGGCATAGGGCCGCCTAGCAGATTCGGTTGTTCTCCCACATTGTTGCAGGGCTCAGAATCGAAGTCATTGTAATATTTGACCTCTGGTGAAAGGGAAATAAATATGTGCATTCAACGAGATTGAGGATGAAGCGAATTGTGGAATTCCTCGAACAAATGTTGGAATTGCCATGGCTGCACTTGCGTGCGCATTATGATATGTCGAAACGCGTCTCGATAATTGCGCGCATGCCTTGCAAACCGCTGCACATCAGTCCTCCAAGTCTTGTCGATTAATCATCTGCGGAGAATGCATGGCACTAAACAACCTGCACTGTTATGACAATGAAGTACCATTCAAATAACGGGTCTTTTCATTGTACCATTGTATCCTGGCAGCTCAGCAAGCAGCTGCCACGTGCCGTCCTCTACCATGCGCTTGTGGCGAGTGTGGAAGCCGGCAGCATCTTTGGGCGATATTGTGGTGTCTAGGATATCTCGAACCAGGTGGTGACCAGAGGCCGGATGCTCTTCGACATTTTGTGCTGCGTTGCTCTTTCCTCCTGTGGCGACACAGGCAAAAACCGAACTGCAAATTTGCAAGATGTTGATATGTCGATGGTACAATCACAGGACGACTTGTGGTGGCTTGAATCAATGAAACATTCATGGGGTCGCGCAAATTACACAGAGGATTTGCGGAATGCCGCCCTATCCAATGGAAATTTCTTAGAATCTCGCAGCATCAGCAACCTGGGTGGCTACGGCTCTGCGGACTTCAGATGGCTGTGCAAATCCGAAATCCAAAAATCGCGCGTGAGTCCAGAAGGGACCCGATATTCCTCCCGGAGTGCCACCTCAGCCAAGCTGTAGAAAATCCATGGTCAACTGTTTTGTTGGAGTCGCCCCAACACCTGGCCACAATGGCGTTGGCATATATCGTGCCTATCATTCTCTTCCACTCCCTCTGGTCGACGTACGGAAGAGCGCACAGAGGTGTTGCAGCACGTGTCGGCGACGCATTGTGTGAATGCAAATTTGGCTGAACAGACGCAAGCCCTGCCTCTCGTCCACCTAAACCCAATCTCCAAAACCACCACCACCGCCGCCTTACCCCTTTTTCGCATGATGCAGCACCTCACTCGCTTGTACGAGTTGCGTAAAAGTGGCCGGCGCGACAATACTATTGCGCCGGCCACTTTTATTTTCCTCCATTAGTGGAGCAATGAGAGAAGCGCAATCAATGCCTTGAACGCGCATACATCCCCTTCATCATTGGAAAGGTGCAAATCCTCCTCCTTGCTTTGCGAAGCCATCGCGACACAAGCAATCTTGCCGCATCTCACCTGCGCTCTTTTGCTGGTAGAATAGGCCCTGGGCTGTGAGAAAGTTGAGCTTCTTCTCAGGTCCATAGAACCATCCCGGCAGGTGCGTCGCCTTGCAAAGCTTGTTGTCCCGGTTCATCCACGACCATATGTGGATGGTATGGTGGTCGTCGCTAGTGACCGTCACCAGCAGGTCACCGCCCTTGGACTTGCTCGACTTCCCGTTGGCGTTCCCTGAAAAGCAGCAGGCGATGACACTGCGCGGCAACATCGCGAGCACAAATCACCAACACGCCCCACGCGCCTCCCTGCGTCGGCATCGAAGGACAACAGTGACTGAGTCCTGTCACGGAGGCGATGACCACTTTGCGCGTCTTGAAATGCCAAAAGCATGTACGGCTGGCAAATGGGGTGTTTGCGCACATTCGAACAAACGTCCATTGGATCACACCACAACAATCCCGACGGCTGATCGGCACTGGGTTTGCTGCTTCCCAAGTGATTCAATGACAAACGGAATCTTCATGTCACCTCAAATCAAATGACGATCCATCGCCAATCGATCGGTTGGTTCCCGCCGCCACATTTCTCTTAGTAGTTGGAGGAACGGGGCGGGAACTGGGCTACAGTGGCGCGCCACCAGCGCCCCAGCACCGGCACAATGCACCATTTGCGCGACGCCAACTGCGGTGCCGTTTCGACACCAAAAGGCGTCGTTGCAAGGCTCGAGGAGGCAAAAAGGCAACGTTTATGGCACCTATTAGTGCCAAACAAACGTCATCGAAATTGGCCTCGCAAAAAAGTGCTCGCTGCTGGTACCTATAACCGGTGCACCTTGCACCCATGCAAGGCACTCACGTCGACATTCCCTATTCGTTGTGGCGCAGCGAGCCCCACCCACCTCCGCTCATTCGCCCCGTGATCCAGGCGCTGCAGCAGGTCGCAGGTGTCCACGTCCCAGACGCACGCGTACGGCACCCCACCGACGGACTTCTGCTGACCCGTGGCAACAAACCGCCTCCCTGGATGCATCCCCAGGCACTCGATGTCGTTGTCGTGGCCGAAGAAGAAGCGCTGGGATGGGCGCCTGGCGTCGTGGTCCTGCTCCCGGAACACGATCCCCACCATTCCCGTGTAGTACACGAATTCGGAGACCTCCCGGTCGGAGTTGTGGGTGTAGAAGAGGTTGTTGGAGAGGTTGCGGATGCCGGCGTAGCCGTATACGTGCTCCAGCCACATGTGGGCGCGAGGCAGCGTGGCGGAGCGGAAGGCCACGCGAGGGTCAAAGCCGCTGGGTGGGAACACGCCCCCCTTGCACTGCGGTGGGATGAAGAAAGAGGTTGGGAAATCTCCAGGAGTTATCACAAATACCGTAGCGTGTTTAACCCTTCCGCATCAAAGAAATTTAGCGCTCCGCCTTTTGTTCCGCATTTTTTCCCTAGCGCTATTTTTATTTTTCTCATCTTGCTCTTCAAAAAATTCTGTTAAAAGAGCGTGATTTTGTTTTGATTTATTGCTGTGTCCGCAAAAATGAACAAGCGTTATGGTAGTAAGCGCAAGGGTTGAATATACCACTGTACTCGAATCACGAGATCCACAGGATGCGCACAATATTTGCTCTTACTTGTGCGAATAATTGTGAGCTGTGCATTCCCTGCTTTTCGAAGAGTCTACGATTTCCGGAAATCTGTTAATAAAGTTCCCCATAAGTTAGCCCCTGTTGACGTGCACAAGTAGCGCAAAAAACAGAGCCTACGGGGATATCCGCAGCTATCAGCACCATCGCCCTCACGTCCGAAAATTGCCGCAAACGCTTCCGAAAACTCTGCGCATCGGCCATCAATGCCAAGCGCATGTCGAATCTCCCCCACCTTGGGATATATGATCTTCGCGTCGCCCACGCACAGCGACACGTCGATCTCGTCGAACAGCCCGTTCCTGCCCTTCTCGGCGTTGTCCAAGATGAGCTCGTGGCCCAGCAGCCGGGCGGGCGTCTCCGTGAGGGCGTTGATGAACACGACATACGGCATGAAGCCCTCCTTGTCGAAGCCGAACTTCACGAACAGGGCGGCGGCCGAGTTGCGGTCCACCAGGCGGCGCCGCAGGGGCCTAAGGATCCGGCGCGCCCGTCCGTTGATGACCTGCGCCCCCTCCTCGTACTCGCGCAGCTGCAGGATGTTCTGCCAGACTTGGAGGAACTGCTGGATGGAGATGTCGCCCGCGCGCTGGGGGTCCACCTTCCAGAAGGCGTGGCGCAGGACGTCCTTCTGCAGGGCCGCGGGCGCCTGCGCGCTGGCGCATTCCTGCTCTTGGGCGCGCAAATTCTGGATGTGAGCGGGGAGGGCCGGCTCGACAAGCAAACGATCGCGTGGATTCATCCACGGAATACAAGAAGCAGCCCTTCTGTACAGTAAACCGTAAGTGGTTTTGGACCTGTACATAGTATGTACAATATCAGGCTTGGTATTTACGCCTACGTTTACGTTTTCACGCGCAGAAACGTGAATTTTGCGGAAAAGGTTTTTTTCGTCGATTTTTGCGGCTCGGTGGGACACCCAGGTTGCACGATGAAAGTCGCCTACGATGATCAGTCTTCCGCCATCCTCAGTGCCCTCAACACAGATTCCACCTCGCCCTCGGTAACAGCAACGACGGCATGGAGCAAATGTTCGTTTTTTACCCATTCCACGCGTCTGACTGCCACTCCCCAGACTCCTCAAATCCTTATGTACTGTCCTTATGTACACGGGGCTACATTTACGTTGTATTTACGTATGTTTCGGGTTTTTACGCATAAACACGTACATGCAGTTTGTGTTGACGGCGTTAATACCAAGCCTGTACAATAGCATTAGCTGCTTAGAAATAAACTAATGCATAATTTTGTTGCACAATTTCCGTGCGTATTCATATCTGGTTAATGTCGGTGCAGTAACGCAGACCAAGTGCGAATGCTGGTTTCTGCGCTTTTGTTCCCTCAAGACTGTGCGGAGCTGCCGCCTGCTTCAGTCCACCTCAAGCCTGCTGCCCGTATTATTCAATTCTTTGCCCACTATCCGGATGGTTGTGTTAATTGCAACATAATACCTGCCGACAACATGGCGATGGACACAGGCTCCCTCTCAACGCCAAGTTTGCAATATCGCTCTGCTGAAGCGTTCAATCTGCGTAAATTCCATTGGACCGTCCGCGAGTTACCTACTCACGTCTTCGCATTTGTTCAAAGTCATTGAACGGGGCCGCTACTGGATGTGCGCCGGCAGGGGCAAACATCCGCCCCGGCGCGCGAATGTACCTTGTCCGAAAGGTACTTCAGGTGGGTACGCATCCAGTGCAGCAGCCGCAGCACGGCCAGCCGTATAGCCTGCTCCCTGTTCCTCCTCCACGCTGCCGCATTCAGCTCGGGAATGATGGCCTCCGTCCACGGCGAGAAGTCCTCCGCCTGTGTGTCCCTGTCGAGGCAGTTGCGCAGCGCGAAGATGCGCTGCTGCGGGGGCAGCCTGTCGAGGAGGTACTCGCGATCCGCCTCCTGGAGGTATTCGTGCTTGAAATCTGGGCCTTGGTGGAGGGGCGTCAGGTCCCCCTTAGAGTAGAGGCGCTTCCCGGTTTCCAGGCTCCTACGGAGCGCTACAGGGACTGGAGGGGACATAGAAAATTGTGCTCCGGAAGCGGTCTACATTGACAGCAGCGTCAGAAACACTGGAAAGATGTGCGCGCGAGTGAAGAAACATTGCGAGTTATGGGAGCCATAATGATTGCGGACTGGAATCGGTGTTGCTCCAAGGTCTGTGGACGGAACAGTGACGACAGCAATCTGCGCATCCAATAAACTCCACAACGAATCTTGAACTATACAAGACTTGTTCAAGACTTGTTGTGGAGTTTACGTATGCGACATTTATGAGTTATTACGCGATTTTGGCACTGCTTTTGTATATTTAGAATCGCCCCACTTTGAACTTCATATTCCGGAGGGAGTGCCGGGCCCATGGCCGCGGCATGCGACTACCTGCGAAGCATCGTATTGCACTCCGTCGCGGGACCCGCCGGCGGAGGCTCCTTTATCTCCAGAGGAGGCGGCTGTGCCGCCTTCCAATGGGAGGGGGCGCCATGCGTGAGCCTCTCGTCGTTGAAGGGCTGGCCGTGCGCCCCAATGGACCAGAAAGCCGGCAGGTCTCGCTTCGGTGGGGCAACGCGCCCCCAGAACTGCGCCTCCTTTGCATGTCTCAAGCCTTCGACGCGGATCTGCGCAGGTAAACCTTGGCTTTTTCAGTTTCGATTGGAAAATCCTCATTCCAGCGATTCGATACTATCGTTTTTGTTTTGTGATGCGTCTGCTGCTGCTGCAGCTGCTTCTATTGTTGTGGCTGCAAAAATTAGGAATGCATTCATTCAGCAGAATACTGCAAGTATTTTGTTTACGCGCATATCCTACACCAGAACGTGGCGAATGCCAGGTTTTGTTTGTGGGTTTCTCTGCTGTTTTGTATCGAAAACGTGCGCAATATAATATTACAATATTTGCCTTTTTCCCTTTACACTAAGGCACTGGGCAAACTTAGTGCAGAAATTGAATCCAAAGGGGAGTACCTTGGCCTCGGTATATTCATCATGCTCAATTCCGTGCGGCGGCGCCCCGAACAACTTTTGCTTCGGAGAAGTCCCGCGTCCTGCAGCCCATGCATATGTAACACGGGCGGGCTAGATGTGTCAGTTTGGAAATGAGAAGCCACAAGCGCGCTGGAGCCAAAGCGAGCATCCAGTACAGTGGTATATGTATCCCTTGCCCCTGGACAAGTTGTGGTCGGTGATTCATATTCGTTTGGTGTAATCACCCCATGATCGTGCGGTGATCCAGAGATGATGGGACGATTCATGATGATGAGGTGATTAAGATATTTTATGCCATGATATAAAATCTCTGAATCGGTGCAAAGAAATGTGCAATCCATTAGGGTGGTTTGTGTGAGTGGTCTCAGTCTGCTCAAATGAAAAGTCCCAGACATAGCAAAGTCCTGGTTGCAGGCTTTCTGTATGCGACCGATGTTTATCGACGACACGGAAGCACAATGTGCGGGTTTTCCACAAATAAACTGCATCTCCAACACTTAGAAATTTGTACTCCACAGCATTAGATGCATCAGGATAGTTCATTGATCATCCATGAGAATCGATCGGCGATAGCGGATCTGTCCATCCTCAAGCATCTTACCGTCGGAACCGTATACCGGAGCACTGCACGGCCGTTGTTGGTTGCGTGCAGGTGGCCGGCTCCCCTGTGGAGGCTTTTCATTGTCCCTGCCGCTGGGGGGTCGCGAATCTCCCAGCCCTGCCTCCCTTCTGAAGCTTCCTGAGCCATCAAAGCGCGGCGGTGAACAGGGAAGTATGGAGCAAATTTTTCAGCTCCAGAACCATTTTCCGGACGTCGCCGAATCCCAGCGAGGGTGCGAAGGAGCCTTTTCATGCTGGAACGATTAGTAAATGAGTTACTGTGTGCTTTGTATATTGCTTCCCTTGGAGAAAAATTCGGTTTCTTGGTGCCCACCCTAAAATATTTTGGCTGAATGCAACAATGAATTTTAGCATTGTCTGAGATAATGTGAAATTTCGCGAGGGACTACGGAATGTGCGTTTGTGCGCACATTGATAGCTACGCTACGTTGTCGTGGTGCATTAGTTGTGGGTTATACTTCACCGCAATTTTCTTTTCTGTCACTTGAATATCTGCTACCCAGAAGACCGCTGCTCTCTGGCATTGCAGCCAGCCGCGGCTACGCCCAGCACTACTTTTCCATTGATGCAAAGACCCTATCCATGATTAAAAAGCAATGATGTGTTGCCCTGTGATTCCGTTTCTGCCAACGTCAGGACCATATGCACTGCTATCTCAGCAAGACTTCCGTGCAACGCACACTGCAGTTGCAGCCGTATGCACCACTCTCCCAAGAGCTTTGAACTTGAAAATCGACCACCACTTCTGCAGAACGAAGATTGTAAGGCCCAAATGAAGTAAAGACAATGATGCGGCAGTGGCCGGGGCGCTTTAAATTGAGTTCGCCGTCTGAGTCCAAGAACCCAAGACTTGGCGACGATGGGAGAATTCGGCCCCCTCCGAAGGTTGCCGATTCCCATTTATATCCTGATGCACTTCTGACATGTGTCCAGCTCATTGTGGACCAGATTCCTTACCTTGCGGAGACTTGGAAAAGTCCTTGGTGCCATTCAGGCTGCCGCGACGGCTGCCTCCGCTGCCCCCCAATATTTCCGCCATGCCACCTCAAGACGTGGCGCAAGCGCTCCCGAAGAGTGGGAGGGTTCGCGGCGAGTGCATCGGAGAAACCCGAGGCACAAGTCAAACATTCGCTGACCCTTTCTCCCAAATTTGACCAAGATTTCCGACAAGTCAAATGTCTGTAGATCTTGGCGCAACTGCCCTGAAAACGCTGGAATTTTTGATGCATTCTGACGGCAGGGAAGCAGGATGTTTCGCGCATGAGTCCAACCTGTGCCCTGGCTGACATTGTCCTTCTTGTGTATGGTGGCTGCTTCGACAACAAATATAGTCTACTTCGGAAAATCTTGCGGTTAGGAGCTTATCTACAGGCACTCAGGGCATCCTGTGTTTCATTCAATACTGCAGTGCCTCAAAAACCTATTAGCAATTACAAGTGTTTCTGAGCAGGTGTGTCTACAGCAAAAACAAAGCCTACATGCTTTGAGCTGGGCGGCCCATGTCCCTGCGGAGATTGTGGGCACGCAAAAAGTACTCAACAATCACTTGGTACTGCCTATGGAGGGAATAACCACCGCCACCCCATGGTCAGCTTGTGACAGGACTGTGCACTTGCGCAATAAAATGAGGCACACAATGCGTTGTGCAAGTGGTCAAAGACGAACAAATGTACATGGCGTGGTAAAATGACAATCGACATGGTCACCTCAACAAAAAAAATCGATTATCAACAGTTGTATTCGCTCGTCACTTCAGCACGTCAGTAAACAAGCAAGTCAATCTTCAGTCAGCCAACCGGATGCTTTGCGGATGTGCTTTCAAGCATGGGCGACGCGGTCGCATTATCAACACTTTGAGCAAGAGCTGCAGTGCAGTGAAATTGTGTTCCATTCATATTGAGAACAAGAAGACATTTTCAACAAAGCAGTGAGATGAGTACCAGGGGGCTGTGGTCTCCATGGAGCAAAGCTTCAACAGAATACTGTTTGTTTGTTTTTTCAACTTTTAAATCGCTGTTCTTTGAGGATCAGTCAGAGAGGACTAATAGCTATGAGCTTCCATGTGGAAGCTCATGCGACGAGGCTGATTGTCAGGACCCTAAAGTGCAGCCCAGGGCCCTGGCAATCAGCCTCGTCCCAAAAGTACTGAACATGAGTAGCGGGCCATGCACGCATCATATACCATTCGTGCATTCAGAGGTTTGTGCAGCGTTTTGCAGCATGGAATCTAACATTCTCTCGATAATACATTGATACCGCTGGCGTTGCCGCCTGAAGGATGTTCACCAACCAGGGTCCAGGCTTTGTTAGAAAGGAGTGCATTAGTTGCTGTTGACTTGCTCATCTACGTGTACATGCTGGCCCAAAAAATGGGTTTCCATTTTGTTGTGCACATATGCCAATATACACCGTCTGTGCACAGCGCTGCACAAAGTGGTGAGGGCCGTTCCAGCTATATTCAAAACGCGCATATGCGTGCATGGATGGACGCCAAGCTATTAACGCACGTGGGCATACATTAAGGTGTATACAGCAAGCCTGCTGGAAAGCGGGAAGGGCAGCATGTGTTGGGTGTAGTCAAAGCACTTGCATGTTCCAAGGTCAAAGGGACACAACGAGCAACTATGTACTGAGCCAATTTGCCCTTTGTGTGTGGCTGAAATACCAACGCAGCAGCACAGGTGCCCGAGTGGGCGTCCAACGACGTGATGCGGGGAGCAAATTGATCGTGTCCGCTGGACACATACCTCTGGACCGAAAGCAGAGCTCGCAATAAACCCATTCTAGGATGAAACCAATCGTGTGGTTCAGGTGCTCGCTTCGCAGATCCCAGAACATGTGCTGGCGTGGAGGACAGGGCTTCAGCAATGGTGAATATGTTAACACCACCACAAGCAATTGAAGCATTCCAAAATTGACAAAACGTCCGGCGTGGCTGTGCGCCCTGACAAGCCATCCTTCCCGCAGACTCAACCACAGCCTCGTCCTCGCCATCGCAAATTAGCTACAATCCATTGCTGCATTGCGCCCCCCAGCAATGCGGCGAGGTTTGCATCTGCTGCAAACCGAAGATCTGCAATCAAAAGCGCACAGTCCGTCACATGCTTGAGATCCTTGCAACGAAGTCGTCCACGGCCTTCGTGTATTCGTCTTCTTCCACGGTCCCCCTTGACGCCTCTGGGGTCTTCTGCGCGGCGACGGCAGTTTCGGCAGGCGCCTGTGCCACCTGCACCTGCTCAGTTGCACTCTTCTCCTCAGGCGCCTCCTGGGTTCACAGGAACGCACATCCTTTGATGTTTACGGCGTCTGAGCATTTGGGCGCTCCTGACGGGGCACTAAAGACAGTGTGCGTGGGACCAGTCCAAGGCTGGTTTCACAGCTTGGGTTTAAACCCTGTGGGGCAAGAGTGCCGCAAGCCCAGTGCATTAGCGCTTTGGCAATGCAGCATGGACAGGCCAAGATAGTGCCAAAGATTTGGGATCGTCGCCGCTGTCAAGCGAAGTGGTGCAGGCCTCGGTGGCCGTCAGATATTTGTGAGGCGCCGCAACCGCATCTTCGCTGCTCTCAGGGCCCAACCTGTTCTTCGAAGGAATGTTTCAACGCAGGGCTAGGGATTCACAACCGTGTATATTGGCGAGCCCACATGAAGCAGACTACATCATGAAATTTGCCCAAGCCCTATCAATGGCATGAGGCTGACCCATTCACTGCTTATACATTTGTGCTGAAGCCGTGCTAGTTTTTCATTCCCTTTGTAGCTTAACCATCGGTATGTATTTTGCCCAAACTATTTGCGTTCACAAACTCCAGAAAATCGTGCGTCAGCAGTGCATATGGTGAAACAAGCGATCCAGTATTGCAATTTGAACTGTGTATCCAGGGCCATTCACGATGAACGTTGCAACAGTTTAGCAGCGCATGTACACGTACCTCTGTCGCCTGCGCCACTCCTGCGACTTCCTGCTGCTCCAGCAAAGACTCGAGCAAGGATTCGGAATTCTGGATCGCAGCCTGGCGCTTTGCCTCGGCCTTTGTGAACGCCTGGGCGCCCCTGGCGGCAATCAGCGACGAGCAGACGCCCAGGACACCAACCAGAATCGGGCGGCGGCTCGTATGGGTCTGAGTGTAAAGGCACAAAAAATTGACAACAATTTTGAATAACCATAATAGCAAGAACAATTCACAAAACATCACAGTTGTAACAAACAGGCTTGGGATGTACAGCGTAAACGCAGATCGTGTTGTGTTTTCACGTGTAATTTAGTATATATGCTTTTGTGCATAACAGGCGTAGCAAAACATAAATACAGGCGTACGTACCTGCCCGTGTACATGGAGCCTGTGCTGCCTGGTCAATCAGTGACCGGCTGTCCCCTTCGCTCAGCACGGGGCGCAAGGGAGTGTTCGGGCCATCTGCCAAGCACATTACGGACGACCTTTTGCATTGCCGAGGGCGGGGTGGAGGACGGTTTGTTGCTGGTGCTCAATGGGGCGAAAGACTGATCATTGTGTGCGACTCCATCATGCAGCTTGGGTGCTCCATTTAGCCATAAAAATACGTATGTATAATATAGCCGCAAAATAGCTCCTTCCATGTGTTGCCTGTCTATGATTTTACGCATACATGGTAAACACAAAACGTTAACATAGTGCAAAGACCAAGCCTGGCAACAAGCGATCATCAACAGTCCTAACGATCGTAATCACATTCACTGAGAATATGGTAGGCAACACTAACAAATCGAAGGCGTGGCAGTCAGATGAAGATGAACCACATTATGCACACTCCATGCAAACTTCATGATGACAATGCCATCTGGATGCAGTGTTTGGGGACCATACGTTTCACAGACACCATGCAACATAGCATTTGGCTGATTCGCCTCATGTTTGGTTTTTTGAGCGGTTTGGGACGTTGTTGATGCACAAATTGCCCTCACTGCCCTGTGGGTACAAACCAGGTCCTTTGCTTGAAGTTAATGTGATCAAGGCAAACTTTCACCGACCTGACTGCTATCTGCTGACTCCAGCTGCTGCGCCCTTGCACAAATGCTGCAGATGGAATAGATAAAATGTCAGCCAGCATGGGTGATGCAACACAGGGATGTCAGCAATTTGATTTGCAATTGGTACTTTGCAACAGGCCAGCACGAAGCTTGCAGCATCAGCAGTTCCATTGCCCTGCATTTTCATTTTGGGACCCTTAGGTATGCCTATCGTAGCTGGGAAGTCACAGATGCAGCAACAGGCAGATGCTTGCAATGACTCACATGAGCCCAGTTCTCAAGTGGCCTGATCCGACACTGGCTTTCTCTATCCGCCTTCTGAAGCATTTATGTCACTGCCCTGTGGGTGTCCAGGTGCATATTGGCTACATCCACAGATGTGAACAGAGAAATTACACCAATTTCTCTGTGCACGTTTTTCTGTGTGCGGCAAGGGCACTTGCACCACCAACTTCGTCTCTTGCAGTGGCACATGGAACCAACGTCTGGCAATTGTTCCCCCAGACTCTTCTGGCAGTTTGTCCAACTTCAAATGTTGCGTTCTGCATATCTGAAAATTGCGATGGCCGACACAATTTGCACAACAAATGCCCAGGTGCGACGAGCCCTGTCTCGTTTTGGGACAAGGAGATAGGACAGTGTTCTGCATTCTACGCAAATACAAGCACGGCGGACTGTCAATCAATCAACAAATAAATGAGTCAACTATTCGGGCGGTGATGATTGCACAACACGACAAGTGTGGTGACTGCCGTCACGGTGTCACCTCGCTTCCTCTACCGAAACGTGCATAGAAGAACAGTCTCAGAACTCCAGAAACGCGGATTGCTCGCGTTCCTGTTCATGTCCAACGTACGTCTGTAACGGCATCCCGTGCCCGTCGTACACTAGAGGGCAGCGCTTCCATTGCACCACCCCCGCCTACGAACGGGTACCCCACCCCCCGACGGTCAACCCCTGCAGTTGATCAGGCGCACGCAACGGTGGGGGACAATCTGCGCGCCAAGACACTCCCACGCGATTCCTGATGCACGCCCCCTTCCCAACACTGCAGCGGCGTTGGCGCCTCGGCCGCCGCAGATCGCGCAGCATTCGCGACGCTCTCAGCCCAAGCGTTTTCGACACACGTCGCGCGTACCCCGCAAGAGAGGCCCCATGACGCTCACCTCGCGCGCCGGTTCCCCGCCGCGGGCTTGTCCGGTGCGCTTCTGACGGGCAGCGGCCGGCGCGCGGCGCCCGATACCAGGCGGTCCGTCATCATGTCCATCTGGAGTCCGTCGGGGGGGGGGGACGCCCCGAGCGAGTGGGCACTCGGCGGAGGCTGCTCGAGAGGGCCGGTGCCGGCAGGTGTCGAGCTTTCAGCCTGGTTTGCTCAGACACACTGGCCAGCCACAGTTGACAGCGGAGGAGATCTGTGGACGGGTGGATGGGTGGGAACAGGCGAATAAGCGTACGCCGCCATACGGCCACCACGCAAGTGAAATACGTAGACGGCGCGCTTAGGGCCTGTTCAGTCCCAGGCGAAATAATTTTACTGCCTGCACCAAATCGGTGACTGTTTGCACTAATCACGTGCACACTATGTCCTAACCTCAGTTTCAGGGTTAGGATTAGTTTAGAGTTAGTTTTAGGGTTAGTTTTAGGGTTAGGTTTATGGTTAGGACAGGTTTAGCTTTAGGTTTTAGGCTTTAGGTTTTAAGTAAGGCAAGTTTTGGAGGGAGTTGGTAAAAGCAGTCACCGATGTAGAGGAGAAAGTCACCGATTTAGTGCAAAAAGGCACCGATTTGGTGCAGCCAGTAATTGTATGCCGTCCCAGGCAGCATGAAATTAGTCGCTCTGTCTTCCGTGAAGACTCCTTCTTGTTTTGGACACCCTTAACCTTAAACCACTGACCCGCTGACCGGCGTTGGCCTTATCAGTGGAGCAAGAAGAGATCCTCATGGAAAAGACATAGGGACTAATTGCGGGCGAGCGAAGCGAGTGGAGCTTTATAAAGCAAAATTGCGGTTTTGGCCGACCGCACGCCGCCGGCCGCGCGCTGCCGGCCGCGCGCTGGGCATGCACCGCTCCCTCCCCGGGCTTCCTAGCGCCGCGCGCGGCGCGCGGCGCTTGCACGTGGCTTAGGCGTGACTAAGGGGGGGGGTTCCGGGACACCTCTGGTGCCATGCGCCGTATGCACGTGGTCTAGAGGTGGCCACCCGGATCCGTTAATAGCGGACAGAGGTTAATTTCCATTAATTTTCCGTTAATTAACGGAAAATAACGAAAAAAGACAAAAATTAACTAAAAATTAACGGATTTTTGGATTTTTGGGGGATTTTTGGGTTTTATTCATACTTATAGTTTATGGAATTCGCTATTAGAGAGTATGTTTTATTTCAACCTATGCATACTAGATTTTTAACTAGCCGCAGTTGTTGTAATTTTTTGGGGTTTTTTCGATTTTTTTGGATTTTTTTCGTTTTTTCTGAATTTTTCTCCCTTTTTCTTTAACGGAATTTAACGGACAGCTGATAAAAATTAACGGACCGGACTTAACGGACCGGATGGCATCTTTGAGTGGCCACCTCTAACCCTTTGCCACGCCAGCGTTACGCCGCCTCGTCTCAGCCTCGGTTTATGTACGATTTGTCTGACACTTCGCAGGTTATGGTTCTTTTTTCACGCCACGGCCGTGGGTTTATCGGCCAAGTGATTCAAAGGTTCCGATTTCTAGCGACGCTGTCCTTTGCATGGTCATTACGCGGTTTGTGTAGCCCCCACGGTGGGCCTCCCAGGTCCTGCACTAGCGCGCGGCGCACAGGTGGTGCGCGGCGCGTACGCCGGCCGTGCACATGCAACCCATCACCGGGCTTCCTTGACCTGCGCATAGGGCGCATGCGGGGCAGCGCGTGGCATGGCCACCAACCGGCCACTCATGCCCATTCCCTCTGGCTTCCTTGACCGGCGCCTGGCCCACTGCATTGCAGCCGATCACCCACTCACAGTCCACCCCCCCCGGCTTTCTTGACCGGGGCACGGCAGCCACGAACCAAGTGGCACTTAGGCGAGTGGTCGGCGGTGGCGATTGCCATCGCCCACGGCCATGGCTCGAGTCGTGTCTGGGAGGGCGATGGGTAAGAGATGTAGGGGTTGGGGGCCAACTGATGCGAAAAAAATCTGTTTAAGGCGATTGACGCAACTGGTTGGCCGATGCGATGTTCACTTCAAGCAAGCTGGGCGGCCACTTTGAGGTGCCTCTTGGCATCTCTTGGCCATAGATTAGAACGAGTGGCGGTTTTAGAGGACTGGGGCGGGTTGGTTCAAGTTCAAATTTGAAAATTGCGGCCGCGGCGATATACCCAATGGGTCGATCGTCGTGATCTTTCACATCATAGAAGCTTGGCGGCAGCGCTGCAGCACTTTGAGGTACTTCCTTGGCCACCGATTGGAGGCGAGTGGTGTGGGGGTGGGGGTGCCATTATTGGGGTGGGGTGGAGGTAGGCAAGTTTGAAAATTCAGTTTGTGGCGATCAACCCAACGAGTCGACTGCCTTTCACTTGAGAAAAATGTGCTAACGTCCTTAGGGCGGGCGCCTTGGAGCGCAGCTTTGACACTCGCTCTAGTGGTGGGTGGGTGGTCTTGGGAATAGTACGTGAGGCATGCCAGGTTTGCAAATCTCTTGCAATTTGGCACATGAATTGCAACAAAAGTGTGTGTGCATGTGCACCACTCAAGCGAGCATGGTTGCGCGAGTTGTGTGTATTTTATATTCTTGTTGTAGGCCGAGCAGTGAACGAGACCGCTGAAACTGGTTGGATTGAGTGGGAAGCACTAGTGGGTTGTGTTCCCAGGGGCATACGTTAAATCTGACCTGACCTTTTCCATTTACATTGGCAGTGCCCGCATAATGGCATGATACGGTGGGCAGCCAGACGGTCGCCAGCCAGGCTTATGTGGAAGTGCCTAAGTCGCCGGTGCCCAACGTCCAGCGGCCACCTGGGGGAGTTCCCCGTGGGGTGAGGACCGCCGCCTCATGTCCCGTCCTCAGAAACGGGTCCCAAGAACCTTCTGCTGATATGCTGCATCACGCAAGATCGCCACAAGTAGGCAGTCGACAAGGCCACCACTGGACAAACTAGCAAAAGGCCATGCGCAGAGGCGGGGTAGCCACGCCATAAAAAACGCCACTCCCCCCAGGGTGGTACTCCACCCCACTCACCGATCGGCAGCCCCAAAGGCCGTGGCTCATCGCTTTTGGGGTCGAAGATTGCTGGGTGGGGTGGGGGTTGGATCGGCATTCGTAACCAAATAGCAGGAGGTGTCCACGACTCAATACAAGCACCCCCGGGCATGACAATGGTAACATGCCCTGCCCCGCACCCGCCCACACAACACCCCACATAGCTTGCCCACCCGGTGCTCGCCAACCTACTCCCCTGCCCACGAGGGGCACGTGTTGCCCCTCCACCGGCTGGTGATACGTGATCCAGCGGGCTGCGTGGGTCACGTGAAGCGGAACTTGCGGGACAAGACCAGCATCCCTGCCAAGCAACGCGGGCTCGTCTTTGACCGCCGGGGTGATTCGCGGTGGAGGAGATCCTCGGCGAACCCGCCGGCTAGCAGGTGGGGACCCATGCGATGCTGGGCTGGGCGCTAGTGGTCGCTTGCATCCGGCGCCTAACGCCCTATCCATCCAGACCTGGGTTGGTGGGCAGGAGCGTGGGTCAAGGTCCTGGGTGGCCTAGCACATGTCCTCTCCCCTTTTTTTCCCTTTGCAAATTTGTGCATCTTTGTTTTTGTGCGTGGGGGTGGTGGGCGGGGGTGTGGGCTAGGCTATTTTCACGTGGGAGGGGCGCATCGGGTGTTGTGAGGGGAGGGGATCCCTAGAGGGGTGGAGGCCGCCGCGAGCATGGATCGATCGACTTCCGAAGAAGCTAGTGCCCAGTTGCCATGGGCACCGGCGCAGCGCCCAGTGACCGAGCTCACCCGGCTGTTGAAGGTCCTGCGCCCGCCGCTCGCGCACACCAGATCCACGTCCCCCAGCTGGCCGCTTGACTTTGGGTGCCATATGACTTGTGCGTTTGCGCGTGTTTTTGGGTGATGACCGCACATGCGTCCACCATATTTGGTTATTATGGGGGCGCCGCCGAAGTAAATGGCAAAGGTCGGGTCGGATTTAATGTATTGTTCGTGGGTTACTATTTTTTTGCGACAATGAGATTGTCCTTTTTGGCGACATGTTCCTTTTTGCGACAGTGGCAATAATTGATGCGCGAGATGTTGGCATCAGATTTGCCACACCACCCCAATGCAGTCCAAGGGGCCTTCTCTTACAATGGCGCTGAAGGGGCGTCTGCTCGAAGAAGGGGCCAAAAGGCGAAACGGGAGCGTTTGGGGACACCTATGGTCCCCACCTTGCGGAGGGGTCCGCCGCTGCTATTCGGCGATCATTTTAACATTCAGATTCAGCCAAATTGGCTAAGGCTAGAGCCCCCCGTTTCCTCCCAAGCTCTATTTTTGCCATGCTAACCCCATGAAAATGCGCGCAATTGGCCATGCGGGGAGATGGCGTGGCCAACTGGGACCGGGGAGCGTTGATCGTGATGCCAGACGGGGAGGCCAAGGCGCTGGTTGCTAGCGCCATTGCCATCCAGGCATCGACCGACAAGGCGCCCATGCCCAACGCCGTTGACTTGTCACACGACCAGGTTGTGCTGCAAGGTGGGGGCATGACCTGTGAGCCACGACCTATGGCAGGCTGCCACTGGCAGCATTTTAGCACTTGGTGCAACCTAGCGCCCATTTGGAGCCGCCCAGCCTTGCGCCACCCAGATCCCCGACAAACACAGCATTGACTCGCGGAGTTCGAGGAAGCAAAACAATGATCCCTCGGGCAGCGAACAACAGTGACGGCGGTTGGTAGCAGCTGGTGGCCAGTGGCGGGTGGCGGGGGGTTGGGGCGGGTAAGCGAGCTGGTTCGAAGGCCCCGCCGCCTTCCCAATCTGTGCATTAGTCATATTCACTATCGCAAAAAAGAACAATCCACTGTCGCAAAAAAGAGTAGTTTGGCATAGAGGTGGCCACTCAAAGATGCCATCCGGTCCGTTAATTTTTATCAGCTGTCCGTTAAATTTCGTTAATGAAAAAGGGAGAAAAATTCAGAAAAAACGAAAAAAATCCAAAAGAATCGAAAAAACCCCCAAAAGTCACAACAACTACGGCTAGATGAAAATCTAGTATGCATAGGTTGAAATAAAATACAAACATACTCTCTAATAGCGAATT